ACTTCACCAGTGATCTCTTCAAAAGGACACTGGAGGAGTTCAACATCAAACAGGTATTGTCCAGCCCCTATCATCCTGCTTCACAGGGTTCTCTTGAACGTAGTCATCAGACCATCAAAGCACTCTTGAAAAAGTTTTGTAGTGAAACCTCAAAGGATTGGGATAAGCAGATTGACCTAATAATGTGTATTTTCAGAAGTCTCCCCAATGAGTCCCTAGGAGTATCTCCTTATGAGATGCTCTACGGCCGTAAGTGCCGTACTCCCCTTAAGGCTTTCAAAGACTCTCTCAGAGATGCCACCTTCAGTGAGCATCAGAATGTGCCCCAGTTTCTTCAAAACCTTCAACACATTCTAGAGAGAGTCCACCGCTTTGCCCATGATAATCTATTGAAAGCCCAGGTGAGAATGAAGACTCATTACGACCAGACGAGCAAAGTAAGAAAATTCGAGCCGGGAGACTTCGTCCTTGCCTATTTTCCTATCCCAGGTTCACCTTTACAAAACAAATTTTCAGGACCCTACTGCGTCAAAGAGTGCAGAAGCAACAACACTTACGTCATAGAGACTCCAGATAGGCGGCGGAAGACCCAGCTGTGCCACGTCAACCTCCTGAAGCAATATAATGGTACTCCTCCCACTGTCTTGACTAACTATTCCACATTCACAGAACCCTACATCCACAGTGAGACCTTCCCAGCTTCTTCTCCCGAAAGCACTGACAAGGAGTCGGCGCTTTCTAATTCCGAAATCCTTAATGATCTTCCCAAATGCTTTCAGGATAATAATCGTGCTCCTATGCCCTCTTCTAATTCCACTCTCACCTCGTCAGATAAGCCCTTCATCCTCCATGTCGACGCCAATGGTACCGACGATGGTGGTGTCGTGATGCAGCAACGAGGCGAAAAGAATACACCTGTCAGCGACTACTGCTACAAGGAACGACGGAACAATTGGCAAGGAGCTACTCTTCCTCATCCTGAAGCTTCAGCACTTCACTCCACCCCTGAAAAGTGCTCGGTCCACCATCAACACGGACCACACCACCCTACACCTCCTGCAGCACACCCCCTTCTCATCTCAACGTCTTCTACTATGGGCTTGCTAACTGCAGAAATTCAACCTGGAGACACGCTATACCAAGAGTCTGACAACATCTTAGCCCCTGATCTCTCCAGAGTTTATGAAGTAGAAGCGACTCCATCCATTACTCCACCACATAACGACGTACTTCTTCCAGAACCGCAGGCTTCGGGGGAGAGTTGTGACAATAATCTCCTTCAAGAGATTGAGCCTGCTCTTCCCTCCACAAACCCGTCGTTGAAATTATATAAAACGACTATGGAAGACATGTCCAACAATGACAACAACACCAGCAAGGCTTGCCAGGGTGAGCAAAACGTATGCAGCCAGCCACCTGTTCGGACCCAAACCACCAAACTACATGTTGATCGCTACCGGCTCCGCTGATTGGTCGCCGGTCTGGCTGCACCTGTACTCGCCCCCCCCCATACTACTTGATGTCTGGGGTCGCCCCAACCTCGGACTTCAGAATGTTCAGTGCTCTCGTTGTCACCACTCCTCCCGGCTAGACGCTAGCGTGTACTGAGAGAAGTGGTGGCTTAAAGCCAATATTCCAGCACCTCCCATTTTACTTTTGTATTGCACTTCTTGTTATTTTGCCTTAACGTAACTTTTCATTGTGTCATCTAATTATTCTTATTATTTTGATTGATTTTATTATAAGAATTTGTTTGTGCATTTTATTCATGTTTTGATTTATTTAACGTAATTAAAATTTCATTGTTAAAGTTTACTTGTGTTTTGTGTGTCTTCTCCTTACCTTACCACAGACGAAGTTCCAGTTTTCTATTTTTTTTTATAACTATGTGACGAGGCCATACCCCTAGCCTTAAACAGCCGAACACCAACGCGTTACCGTCACAATATATATACGTAAAAACACTTGTATAATAGTCAAAACCCAAGACATAAAAAAATTACAAATTCTTAAAGCAATCCACACACACACACAATATATAGATATATATATATTTGTTAAATATGACCGAAAAAGTAAGATTAATAATTCTAACACGAATTTTCTAAATATTTCTTATGTTTCTTTTTACTGTTGATGGTAATTTAAAAATCAATTCTCCAAAATTCATTTTAATTTCTAGTCTGACATGACACTTTAACGCGTTTCGTAATAACTTTAACGATTCTTCGCGGCAGGGGATCGTATTCCAGGAACCTGCCCGAAACGCTACGCGTACTAGTGGCTGTACACTAGTACACACACACACTCACTGTGTTAGATATGATTTCAAACCAAATGATTTTGATCTTTCTATTTATTTAATTTACAGGTGTACCTCGGAATACGAGTGTCCCTGAATACGAGTTTTTCGGAATACAAGCAGGATTTGCTCGGAAAATGTGCCTCGGAAGGCGAGGGTTACCTCGGAACACGAATTCGTTGATACACATACAGGCCGACCTAGCGTGTGGTGGTACAGCGATCGTCGCCCCTCAGGTTACCATTGCCTCGCTCCCAGTGACTATCCCATGTCAATTCTTCACCCGGATTTTCAGTGTTTTGTTGGATTTTTGGTCATTTGACCATAAAAGTTGTTATTATATATCTCACCATTGGTCCCAAGAAAGCCAGTGGTAAGGATCAAGGCAAGAAAGCCCATGTGAGGATGACAATAGAGGAGAAACAAGAGATCATTCGGAAGCATGAAAATGGTACATGTGTTGTTGAACTTTGTAGACACTACAACAAAGCCACATCAACAATATGCACTATACTTAGCAAGAAAAATGACATTATGAGTGCTAAAGTGGCAAAAGGCGTAAGAACAATCACAAAACAAAGACCACAAATACTTGAAGAAGTGGAAAAGTTGTTATTAATTTGGATACACGACAAGGCGTTAAGGGGTGATAGTGTTTCGGAGGCCATCATTTGTGAGAAAGCCAGGCAATTGCCCGAAGACCTTGTAAAGAAAACCCCTGGAATGAGTGATGCAGATACGAAAGAGTTTAAGGCAAGCAGGGGCTGGTTTGAAAAATTTAGAAAAAGAAGTGGTATCCATAGTGTTGCAAGGCATGGGGAGGCAGCCAGCTCAGACACACCAGCCGCTGAATGATTTATTGAAGAATTTAAAGAGTTTGAAGAGGCTGAGGGATACCTACCGCAACAAGTGTTTAATTGTGACGAAACAGGACTGTTTTGGAAAAGATTGCCTAAGAGGACATACATTACCAAGGAGGAAAAATCCTTGCCCGGGCACAAGTCTATGAAAGATAGGTTTACACTTGTGCTGTGTTCAAATGCGAGTGGCAATTTGAAAATTAAACCCTTGTTAGTGTATCATTCTGAAAATCCAAGGGTTTTCAAACAGTATAAAGTGCAGAAAACCCAAATGTGTGTGATGTGGAAGGCTAATAAAAAGGCATGGGTGACTAGGATTTTTTTTTCATAGTGGGTGAATGAAGTGCTGTGCCCTGCCATAGAAAAATACCTGCAGGAGAAACATTTGCCACTCAAGGCCCTGCTTCTCCTCGACATACTCCTGCTCATCCTCCAGGATTGGAAGATGAATTGATGCACGGATACAGTAAATTTCTCACAATAAAGTTCCTTCCTCCTAACACCACTCCTCTAATTCAGCATATGGACCAGAAAATCATAGCGAATTTTAAGAAACTGTATGAAAGGACACTTTTCCGGAAATGTTTTGAAGTGACTGAAGCCACAAACCTCACTCTCAAAGAGTTCTGGAAAGACCATTTTAACATCTGTAGTTCTTTAAAACTCATTGACAAAGCCTGGCAAGAAGTGACTCAAAGAACCCTGATCTCTGGCTGGAGAAAATTGTGGCATGAATGTGTGACAGAACTAGACTTTGAGGGGTTTGAGCCTGTAAATGATGTGCCTATTGTTGAGGAAATTGTTACTCTGGGCCGGCAAATGGGCTTGGAATTGGATGGTGATGATGTGGAGGAGTTTGTGGAAGAACACAACAAAGAACTGACCACCGAAGAACTCCAAGCCCTTCAAAAGGAACAGCAAGACGACCCAGCTGATGATGTTTCTCCAGTGGAGGAGGATGAGGCAGTAGCGAATGTCCCTTCTGCAGAAATTAAGAAGGTGTGTCAGATGTGGGAAGAGATGCAAACTTTTATGGAAAAGACTCACCCAGAGAAAGTTGTAGTAGGCCATTGCCTTAATCTTTTCAATGACAATGTGATGCCTGACTACAGAGACAGCTTGCAAAGAAGGGAAAAACAAGCTTCCATGGACAGATTTGTTGTGAGAAAATCGAGCAGTGAGCCACAACCAGGACCTAGTAGTACGCAGGCAAAACGTGCCAGGGAGTGCACACCAGAAAGGTCCTCACTGCCTGATGTTATAATGGATGGGGACTCCCCTTCCAAACAGTAACACCTCTCCTCCCCCCCCCTCCTCACCATCTTCCATACGCCTACAGCATTCAACAACAAGGGTAAGTAATAACTTGAACATGGTTTTGTAGGTTTATTTAGATGAATTAGGTATAAAATTTAGTTTGAAGTGGGGTTTTTGGGGTAGTCAGGAACGGATTAATTCATTTCCCATTATTTCTTATAGGGAAATTAGCTTCAGAATACGAGTTTTCGGAATACGAGCTGTCTCCAGGAACGGATTAAACTCTTAAACCGAGGTACCCCTGTACTTGGGAATACTGGAAGATAATCTGCTACTCTACCCTAAGGTTGCTGGTGGAGGCCAGTAGACCAGACTCTCATATCCTGTTTTTCCTTCATTCCACATATGACTCACCATTTTGTGAGATGGGAATAGTAGATGAGTTTGTAGGCAGCTTTTGATATATATACTCTGTAATGCCTATTATAGAATAGAGTTGCAGTACTTACACTGTTGTGCACCTGAGTGTGTTAACAATATTAAGTGTTAGACAAGAGAAAAGGACAAGCTTGGAGACTCACCCCTTCACACGCCTGGCACTGCTTCTTGATGCACACAGCTTCCGTGTGAATGCACTCGCACTCTTCACACTCACCCGTAATAAACACTGACGAAGCATTGTATCTAAAAAAAATTATACTACATCAGCAAATTTGCAATAAATATAAGCAACTAAATACTCATTATATACAACACGGTTTAAACATTCTACATAAAAGAGGAAAAACAGGGAAGCTTTCCACTCACTTTATGCCATTCCAGAAACATGGGCAGAAGAGATCAGGGACACAGGACTGACCATCATAGCTCTCTCCGCGCCGACACGCAAGACAGGTGTCATAGTACTCCTGCGGGAGGCCCGGGCAGGGAGAGCAGGTGGAGGGTGGTGGGGTCGTCTGCGTGGGTGGTGCCGTCGTGAATGGTGTTGTGACCTCACCTGCACAACATAGCTAATTAACCAACTCTTCTAAGCTCTCATTATACATCGTACAGAATACAGTACATGGATACAGATACATTCACTAGCATATACAGCATTTCCACAAGAAACCTTTAGGACGCTTCGAATCTAAGAATAATGCACATTATATATATATGTTACACACACACACACATTTTTGTATTTTTAGAAAATGTCACTGTCACTCATAGTTCATGTAAAACAAACAAAAATGCAATATACGAATCTTACGTACATTGAATGTATGTTATATAGAAAAAAAAGAGCTATCTAAAGTTTTGTTTAGAAATAATGATGTGATTTTAAGCTTTACAATGGTTTCTATACACGACCTGTTTTTGAGGATAAATAGACAGAGAGATTGAAATTTATACAGTTATTGACATACAGTATCATTGAAAATCAGTACAATAACCAGTGTTATTTATCAAGCTATAATTATATATTCAATCATCCAGAAGCCATAACAACAACCACAGGAGGTTCTACTAACTGTAAGGTTCGAAACATCCAAGAACTTCAACTCTCATGGCGATGTTGTCCTTCCACGTCTTAGGTCTGATCTCCAGAAAACGAGCCTCAATAAGTCTATCAAAATTAGTCTTCGATGGGGACCTGTCGTCATAATTCCCAGCAAATACCTGTAACATTGTATATGTTGATGCAAATCATAAATAATAATTATTAGTTACACATTTACCAAGTGCATCCGTGTAATGCAACAAAGTGAACATTGAAGAATGGTAGCCCAGGCTTTTGTGTGGTAGTTCTGGGCTTATATGTGGTAGTCCGGGATGGTGGTAGTCCGAGGCATGTGTATGAAGTAGTCCGGAGCGTGAGTGTGGTAGCCCGGGGCTTGTGTGTGGAAGTCCGATACTTGTGTGTCGTAGGACGGGGCTTGTGTGTCGTAGGACGGGGCTTGTGTGTCGTAGGACGGGGTTTGTGTGTGGTAGGCCGGAGCTTGTGTGTGGTAGTCCTGGGCTTGTGTATGTGGTAGTCCGGTGCTTGTGTGTGGTAGTCCAGGGCTTGCGTGTGTGTGTGTGGTAGTCCAGGGCTTGCGTGTGTATGGTAGTCCGGGACTTGCATGTGTATGGTAGTCCAGGGCTTGTGTGTGATAGTCCGGGGCTTGTGCGTGGTAGTCCTGGGCTTGTGTGTGTGGGGTACTCCGGGGCCTGTGTGTGGTAGGCTGGGGCTTGTGTGTAGTAGGCTGGAGCTTATGTGTGGTAGTCCTAGGCTTGTGTGTGTGGTAGTCCGGGGCTTGTGTGTGTGTGGTAGTCCAGGGCTTGTGTGTGTGTGGTAGTCCGGGGCTTGTGTGTGTGGTTGCCTGGGGCTTGTGTGTGGTAGTCCGGGGCTTGTGTGTGTGTGGTAGTCCGGGGCTTGTGTGTGTGTGGTAGTCCAGGGCTTGTGTGTGTGTGGTAGTCCGGGGCTTGTGTGTGTGGTAGTCTGGGGCTTGTGTGTGGTTGCCTGGGGCTTGTGTGTGGTAGTCTGGGGCTTGTGTGTGGTAGTCCAGGGCTTGTGTGTGTGTGGTAGTCCAGGGCTTGTGTGTGTGTGGTAGTCCAGGGCTTGTGTGTGTGTGGTAGTCTGGGGCTTGTGTGTGGTTGCCTGGGGCTTGTGTGTGGTAGTCCGGGGCTTGTGTGTGGTTGCCTGGGGCTTGTGTGTGGTTGCCTGGGGCTTGTGTGTGGTTGCCTGGGGCTTGTGTGTGGTAGTCTGGGGCTTGTGTGTGTGTGTGGTTGCCTGGGGCTTGTGTGTGGTTGCCTGGGGCTTGTGTGTGGTAGTCCAGGGCTTGTGTGTGTGTGTGTGTGGTAGTCCGAGGCTTGTGTGTGTGTGTAGTCCGGGTCTTGTGTGTGTGTGTGTGTGTGGGGTAGTCCGGGGCTTGTGTTTGTGGTAGTCCAGGGCTTGTGTGTGGTAGTCCGGGCTTACAAAATCTCGTTCTGTCTCGCGCAATTTTCCAGCTGGATTCTGAGCCGTAGCACTTAATTAGTTTTGATTTGTGCATGAATAGGCTGTCATAGGTTTATTACTTTTTTCAGGAGAAGAAAGGCCTAGCGCCAGCTGTTGGCCATGGCTTAGCACTCCTGCCTCTTGTGTCAGTCACATTTGACCGCTTGAAGAAGTATTCAGGCTTTGCCTGAATACTTCTTCAGAATACTTAATACTCAGGCTTTAAGTGTGTCCAGCGTGGGATGACTGAGTTGATTCCCCAAGTTGGAAGTCTTTCATGTGGAGAAAGATTGGCAAAGCTTGGCTTGCATTCACTGGAAAGGCGAAGAGTTGGGGGTGACATGATAGAGGTTTGCAGGTGGATGAATGGACACAACGGTGGGGATGTTAATGGGGTGTTGAAGGTATCAACACGGGACGGAGCACGGAGCAGTGGGTGTGAATTGGATACGTTTGGATTTGGGAGGGACTTGGGTGGGTGCTGGTTCGGTAACAGGGTTGCCGATTTGTGGAACCAGTTGCCGCGTGGCGTGGTGGAGGTGGGGTCCCTCGATTGTCTCGGGAGCGGGTTGGACATGCATATGAGTGGGATTGGGTGGTTATAGATAGGAGCTGCCTCGTATGGGCCAATAGGCCTTCTGCAGTTACCTTTGTTCTTATGTTCTTATGTTCTTATTAGAATTCTAAGTATTAGAATCCTTGTTCTTGCTCCCATTGTGTGTACTCCTTACTGGATGTATGTATGTATTCATTAGTTCAATGTATGTACAGACTATGGAAGCCCTACTAAAACACTACATCAACAGCAATACTTCACTATTATGGTCATAGTTGAGAAACTTAAGAGAACCTACCTTGTCAGTACCATCAGGATTTTGCAGTGTATTCCAAGTGTTTCCATCAGGAGAATAGCGAACAGTGAAGGACTCGACCCACTCTCTGTTCCTGTCTCGACCCTGTATTATCACCCCTGATAATGTCCTCGGCTCCTGGAAGTCAAACTAAGGCACAAAAAGAAATAATTAAATTAAAGCATAAAAGAATAAATCACTCATCAGAAAATGGAATAATGACAACGTTTTGGTCCATCCTGGACCATTATAAAGTTGTGTAATGTAAGTCATCACACGCCTTAATAAAGGTCTATGGACGGACCGAAACTTCATTTCTCCATTTTCTGATGTGTGGTTTGGTCATCGTATCTTCTGTCATGCTAATGTCACTCACCGTCTGCATGGAAGAAAACAATTTAATTTGGGGGATTTAGTGTCCCAACAGTATTCTGATTATCTATTAATTAAATCTATTGTACCAATCCATTGAACAAGTCTATCAATTCACTCTTTATCCAATCAAAGGAATTAAGGTGCAGAGTTCAGAGCAAGGCCATTAGCATGAAGAATGATTTGTTTTACAACTATTGAATATTCTGCAAACATGCCTCAAGGAAAGCATGGAAACTTGCCTTTCAAGACGGTTGATCGTCTTGAAAGACGATCGAAAGAAAGTTACCTCTTCCTAGAGGTAGAGGTAACCATATTAGCAAAGGAATGGCCACAATTAAAAATTTATCTGGAAATTTAAACTGACATGAAGCTTTTTGTAGGAGTAAGCGACTATGGAGTTATTAACATTATTGAATTTGCATGTAAAAGGTGGATACCTTGCATAGAATTTTGATAACTGATCACTGGATTTCAGTATTTAATGTTAATAGCATATGCAAATTATTGTTGTAGGTCTATATAAATTGATTTAGAGAAAATATGAATATACAGTAAATGGAATGGAATCTTTAGCTACTTGTGTTTAAATTAGCATACAAGTTCCAAGGAGGCTTGTGGTGTTAATTGTGGGAATGTAATTACTCTCATGAGAAGAGCTAATTAATTGTGAGTTAAGCCTCCCATGGATAACTAACACTCGCCTGAGGTAGGCGAGCCCAGCACACCAGACCGCCTTCCCAAGCTTTACCAACGTCAAGAAACTGTCGTACTAAAGTGCCCTTAGCCTAACCTACCAGAGAACCCAAGACAGAAAACGGAACAGTATGTCAATTTCACGAGCCGCTACCATTTTCTAGTTCGACGATTTTTTGACCTTAGGTAGAGTATACATCAAAATGCGACATCCAATTGGGAGGACAGGTTGCCATGTGGGAAATTTTTAATTATAACAACTTCTAATCATAAATTATTTAAATAAATCTTTGAGAGGAAACTGTGTTGAGGTTTAATTAACAAATTAATAAGTAATTCAGATGCGTAGTTAACCCTTGTGTTGCTAAGGGCTATTTGGCCTTTGTCACCCACAGGCACATAACAAAACAAAACAAAAAAAAAAAAAGAATTTTCTTCTTAACCTGTTAGTTTGTGTTCCCTGATCACAGGAAAAATAATAAAAAAATCATAAGAGGCATATTTTGGCCGCAATAGGCCGGAGAAGACTGACAAAAAACCTGAGTTGAATGTAATGAAACGCCATTTTTTGGGTGAGCCCTGGAGGCTCCTTGGAGCTTTACACTGGAAAATCTAAGTCTGAATTCAAAAATAAAATTAAACTAACCCAATATTTTATGTGAGAGCCAAATTTAGATTGTCTATACAGTTCACTGATCTTCCACAAACCATAGACACAATTCACCCACATTTTTAGCATTTTCCCAGAGACGGTGTTGGGGTGGAAGTGTTAGCCCTTATCCATTAGACATTTTAAAGAGACAAATGTGAGCTCTATATTCAGTTAATCATCAAACATTTTGTGAAGGTTTTATGTAAGAAATATTTCTTACGCGTATAGGTGACTGCATTGTTACAAGAAAAGTAAAAGGTTATGTTAAATAATAAAGCACTGCAACTGATGGTTATGTTGATTTGGCAATAATGTGGGAGAAAGTGAATCCAGCTGCCTTTGCTACTTTAAAACAAGCAATGATGGTGTGGCCTTGAGGCTGGTTGGACGTGTTACAGCTCCCAGCTATTGTATACTTGAGTATGCTCTTAACGTGTGTTAGGACATTGCTGCTGAACTTCAGGGTTAGCAAGTGCTCTTAGTGTTTTAAGTGTAGTTACTATTTTATACGATGTGTAGCAATACTTATAAAATAAATAAGATTCCGATGCTTTTCTACCCATTCGTTCCTGTAGATTGGAACTGGGAGTCTGCTGGCACCATTGTGGTTAATTAGTGATCACCCACTTTTTCATATTTGTATATATTAATGAATTGTTAACTATTGTGTGTTATCAATATTGTGTGTAGTCTTAATTTTCCTCCAACATATTCGTAGACCATAGGGATTCAGAGGTTACCCTAGTTAGTTGTACATGAGGAAGTGACGGGGGAGGGGGGGGAGGGCATGAAGGAAATAGGTGATTGCCTAAGGAATAACAAATCTATAACATCCCAAATTATCAGTGTACAACCCAAGGCACCGTTGTACAACCTAACGCACCATTGTACATGCTAAGTACCATTGTACAATCCATGGTACCGTTGTACAAGCCAGGGTACCGTTGTACAAGCCAGGGTACTGCTGTGGATTAAAGAAGCACTACCCCACCCCGGGATAAATACCTCCCCAAAATTACCGGTTTATGGATGAAAATGTGTTGATGAAATAAGAGGTAGTGGTACTGACCCTGACGTATTGGTCGGGTCTGGGCTGGGCCACCCACGCCCCAGCAGACACCGTGGGCACGAACACGCTGTTGAGACGAATGTTTTGCTTGCCATAAAAGTCGTCATTCTTCAAGATAGAGGATACAACAATCTGTTGATCTGAGAGGGCTTTATTCTCCAGGCCCATTGGATCCTCACACCTGGCTGTTTGTGATCAATAACACTGGTGAGAAATTAAGCTACTAGGACAGCTCACATATTATTATAGCACTTCGTATTCTTAACTCAAAACATTTTTAATATACAGTATTTATACATTTATCTCAACCAACACATATAAAAAAAAGAATAGAGACAATGTTTCAGTTTGTCTGAGACCATTATCAAGATGTGAGGGTTGTTATGATGACTTATTCTCTGCATACCCACCAAACACACACCGAAACTACGACGTTGGTACAACGTTCCAACAAGTTTTAACACCTCCTAACCAGTTATAACAACCAATATAGCAAGTTGTAACAACGTTCTACTACGTCAAAAACATGTTAAGCCAAGATGTAACAACTTTAATACAAGTTGTAACAAGCGGAAAATAGAGAAAGTTACGGTTTGTGTTTCCAGGGTATATCTTTACTATAAGACAATGTCTTCAACTAAATTTTTAAACTACTAAAACAATGTAATATTAATGTAGCATTTAAAAATCTTGATATTATAAAAACTCATTAAAATTCTCAAAATAGTTGGAATGGTTGTGTATAAAATTCCCCGTAGAGATTGTAATAAGCTCCATATTGGCCAGACAAGTAAACATCTTGACCAGATAATAAAAGAACACAAATATAGTATAAGGAGAAGTAGAGTGTCCAATGCATTGTCTGTTCACTTAAGAGATTGTATTCATTCACTGACTGGACTAACTCGTGCAAAAATTTGAAGTGTAATTCAGTTAGTGGACAAAATATTACTGAACTTTCATTTAAAAAAAGTAGTGAATTAGATACTATTAATGTAAATTAAGGATAATATAAATTAGATAGCTTAATAATTGATAAGATTTGTGATAGGCATAAAATTCTGTAAAGAATAAGTGTATATACAATATACCCCAGGAAGATGGACGAACATCTGTCTACTTCTAGCTTGGTGTATATCTACAGTAACTAAAGATACTTGTGTATTAAGACCTACGTGGTGGAATGGGCGGTGTCGGAGTGGGTGTAACCTCACTACAACCAATGAGTTCGAATCTCAAGGCGATGCCCTCGGCCCAGTCAACGGGGATGAGTTTGATGTACCTGGCCTCCACGGGCTCCTTAAATATCTCCTTTCTCAGCTCCGAGGCACTGGCGGGACCTCTCAAAATCTGGTGACATAAGCAACACATAATAAAATAGATCAGTCATAGGCCAACAGTGTTACATGTCTAATGAAGTATTGTATCGTTTCAAATCACCTTTACTTTGCTTACTATGAGCAACGTCAGTCACAAGAATCTACTTTTTTTGTCAGAAGGTTTCAGGTATCTGCCCCTCCGGGTCAGGGTGTCAGGTATTTTTATACGAGTCAACACTTTCAAATGACAGCTACAAGTACTATGCTGTACTTGAGCGAAAAGAAAAACACAATATTGTGTTTATATATATATTTGTCCTTCATACGATGATATTAACGAGGCACACACATTATCTTACTATAGCGACAAGCATATAATCTTGCTAACTGGCCTGGTAATAACTACCTTCGGGGGTCCTGTTGGGGTCTTGGGGTCATCCGGCAATATGCTCCAAATGTTGCCATCCGTGGAGTACTGGAGAGTGAACGACCTCACCCTCTCTTTGGTGCGGGGGTTGCCAGCCACCACCACGCCATACACGGGGACTGCCCAGCCCAGGTCTACCTGCACAAACTGCTGCTTGTCGTTCCTTAACGGGGACCAGCTATCACCAGCTTAAACACATGACACTTTAATTAGGCACATTTATGGTTTGCAAAACAGAAATTTAAAATAGGTGTAATACTTTATTGAAATAAAGTTGTTCTATTAAACATTTTAGTTAAAGGTTTAAACAAAAATAATTGCAATCGGGAAAATAATAATATAATCTAAGCGGATTATATGACTTTAATACTCAAAGATGGCTTATCATAACAAACGAGGACCTACAGTTTACTTACAGGTTAGAGTGCCATCAGTGTTATAGAGGCGCGCCCTGGATGCTGCGAAGAGTGAGCTGCGCACCGGGGTGGAGGAGAAGGCGCTGTCTTCAACATCACCAAGCAGATTGACATACCTAGAAGTTGAGTAGCAGGACATTATGATTACAGAATAATGAATTCGTCATAACAGTCATCCAGCCCGTCCTCCAAAAATGGGGTGGTAAATGTAAGAAGACAAATAAGTTCAATTATGTACTATTCATAGCAGTTAGGAATTGTACTTATTTTCACTTAGTATTAAATCATACTGTCAAATATATTGTGAATATTTGAGTTTACCTGAAAAACTGAATAGAAAACCACACCTAATTGTCTTAGTTTTTGAAGATAATAATTTTATTGCTTCCTAATTACAATTAGTACTTAACCTATAGCTATATTGATATTACAGTTTTATAAAACTAATAAAACAAAACTAAAATATATCAATAAATTGTAAAGTAACTCAGGATATTTTAAAATTTTGTATAAAGTCTATATTGTTTAATAAACCTGAAAAAGAAATTCCTGATATTTAAAACTTGTGTATAGCAAATTGAAGTTGAAATATTCATCCTAAAATTCTGAGTGTCTTAACAGAAAACAAGAATTAAATTGGGGGAGGGGGGTTGGGTAAATGTAACAGCCCCATAAGTGCAATTATGCACTGTTTATGACAGTAAGAAAGTGTACTTATTAAGTATTAAATCGTACTGTCAATTCGGAGGATGGATTGCAGTCATCATAACTATAGTATCCTTCACTTCATTTGGAGGACGAGCACTCTTCGAGAGGGGATGGAAGATCATTGTGGGAGAAGGCCAGGTGAATACATTAAGAGAGATCCCATGACCTTCCAATATATTTTTCACACTCAGCAAGATCAGAAGCAACTGTCATCATTGTGTTGTGTGTTTCTCGAGAAAACATTAAACACTTAATTCGAATTATGTTATTTAAAAACTACTTCACAACTAGGTTTAGGACCATTTTCTGCTTTGTGGGGCTCAATCATCGCTCTTGAGCCAGACTTCTAAAACACAGCCTCTTCCTAGTCGATATCACTTTGCCCTTTCCTGCCTCAAAACTAACAACTCTATATTGTAATACTTCCTTCAGACGAAGGCAATTTGGTGGTTGTCCTTGATCATGTGGACTGCTTCCAAAAGGCTAATGTTTTGGTCTGTGACTCTCGGACAAAAGCTCCTCTGGTTTCTAACCCTTTGGATTGCCTCAAAACAATTTTTAACAGTAAACTAAGACAGCTCTCTAGTCTCCTCCCGACCTCAATCTCGTCAAACGTTTCCGTATCTAAACACCAAAGAACTTGGTGTTCCTCTTCAGCCTATCATTTCTTCTTCAGATATCCTCTTGCCTCCTAGCTTGCCAAAACTCTCACTCCTTATCTTAGTACATTTTCCCTGCCCACCTCTGTCACTCTCACAACCTCATGGATTGTGCTTGTAGCCCTCCTGAAAGATGCTTAGATCTCATGTCGATTACCTTTACAGTTCCCCTTGATGATGATCTCTCTTTCCTTAGAAGGCGACACATTCACCGTGTTGGTCACCCTCATGCTAGTACCGTTCTAGGAGTGCAACACCTCTAATGCTTGCATCACAAATATATCAATACACTAAATAACATACAAACTGTGACTAATGTTAAATGTTGAGAATTATGCAAGTGATGAAGGCAAGAGGTAATTGATCTTGACGAGATGATTAGGGGTCAAGTGCTGACACAAATGTTATGACTGCATTTTTGTTTCGTAATTTTCCCCGGCTTCAAGAGTCATGTTCTCACCGCCACGTACTTACTAGACGGACAAGAAAATGTTGTTATTCCTGGAAGAATGTAAGTTGCAGCACTTTTGATACATTAAAGTTTTGTTTTAAAGGGGAAAACCTAGGGACCAAGGGGCCAATATGGCAGTTGCAGTGTAGCTGGTTGTGAGGCTCTATTAGGAGAACGGGTTGAGGAAGCATCCGGCCAGCTGAGCACAAACTGTGTGTGGAAGGTCATCGTTTGACTCCTGAGCTAACACAAGTAGTTCCACATTTCTTAAGGACAGTCCCAGCCAATGTTTGTACTGAGGTAAGCAATGCAGGGAGTTGTTGCATGCAAGAGCATCCTGCTGTTGTCATTACCCAGTGTAAGCCTAGTAGTGAAGGCTAAGAGCCTACTACATCGCAAGACATTTTGCATGAGCAATAAGGTGCTAACGATCATTCTCCAGAGACATTTGCAACTATAAATTGGGCAATGTAGTTGCCCAAGTGTAAGGCTAGAAAGTTCCTGTGAAGTGATAGTATTGGCTGAGCACCCAGCTACCCAACCCGGACCAACCTGATCCAACCACGTATAAACAGCTCTAGAGCCAGCATTTACAGTTGCCTTTATTATCAGCTAAACATGCAGTGAATGTATTTACTGAGTACTGTATGTTAATGTATTTCCTCAAGCACTCATAAGTAAACTGGTTGGTAAACTTACCCGTCAGGGTGACAGGGCGGCGGCGGGGTGGTCATCGTTGGGAGTGTTATGGTCGTGGTGGTTGATGTAGACTCTGCCAAGGAACATAGAAGGCATCTTTAACTTCAATGAACTAGAAAAAAGTGCAAGTTTACATCATGGGTACCTTAAATTGCCAGTGACAAGTGAGACGTAACAAGAAACACTGCTCAGTGTGTTTCTTAAGTTACTTTGAAAGGTTTCCAGTTTTTTCCAGTTAAAAACGGATATAACTGATAGTTATATCTGTTTTTATGACTGATATAACTATCACTAATTAACATCATGACACCCTAAATGCCATCAGTTAGTAGGTTTGACAAAAGTTGAGAATAGATCTCAACTTATACTCTCTTTGGTATATAGGAGAGTACAAGTTGAGTATAAGAGTATAAGGATTTCACAGCATCAAACCCCTTTCTCTCAGACTTTGTAATCCTGCAGTATAATTCCTTTTGCACGTTTAGTTACACTTGATGCCTCTGTTCACCTAGCAGTGTACAGGTGGCATTCCAGGACGTCCCAGCATCTTGGTGAAGGACAGTCATTGGGTTCGCCCTAGAGGGGCCTGGGTCTGACCTAAGGGAGACTGAGCATGCCCTAGGAGGGGCCCTGGGCTCGCCCTAGCGGGGCCTAGATGAGCCCTAGAGGACCTGGCCTCGCCCTAAGGGGCCTGGATGAGTGCTAGAGGGCCTGGGCTCGTCCTAGGGGGTCTGGATGTGCCCTAGATTATCTTGAGATGATTTCGGGACTTAGTGTCCCTGCGGCCCTGTCCTCGACCAGGCCTCCACACCCAGGAAGCAGCCCGTGACACCTGACTAACTCCCAGGTACCTATTTACTGCTAGGTAACAGGGGCATCAGGGTGAAAGAAACTCTGCCCATTGTTTCTCGCCGGCACCCAGGATCGAACCCAGGACCACAGGATCAAGCGTCCAGTGTTCTGTCCACTCAGCCACCGGCTCCCCTTGATCTGGGCCCTCCTAGAGGGCCTGGGCTTGCCCTAGAAGGTCTGGGTTCACCCTAGGGGAGCCTGGATGTGCCCTAGTGGGTCTGGGCTCACCATAGGGGGCCCCTAGATGAAACCTAGCAGGCCTGGTCTTGCCCTAGGAGGCCTTGGTGAGCCCTGGGTTGGGACAGTGCCCCCTCACCCCTGGGTTGGGACAGTGCCCCTCACCCCTGGGTTGGAACAGTGCCCCTCCCCTCTGGGTTGGGACAGTGCCCCTCCCCCTGGGTTGGAACAGTGCCCCTCCCCCTGGGTTGGAACAGTGCCCCTCCCCCTGGGTTGGAACAGTGCCCCTCCCCCCTGGGTTGGAACAGTGCCCCTCTCCCTGGGGTTGGAACAGTGCCCCTCCCCCTGGGATGGGACAGTACCCCTCCCCCGTGTTGGTGTGGCCCTGAGAGCTTCACTTATCAAACTGGCTCTTGCTGATAACTTGCACCCAGTTCCAGTACTGAACAACCAACACGGGAAGAGGCTCTCGACAAACTATAGAGGCTCTAGAGGCTTAGCAAGCTCTGGAGCTTCAACAAGCCACAGTGGCCTTACAGACACTAATTGTTATAGACACACTAGAAACTCATGAGGCTCTACAAGCAATAGATGCAAATCAGGTTAAATTTATATTTGAATCTCGAGACTCTTGAGGTACTGAAAATACTAGATGCTATCTATGAACTAGAAGCGCTTGTCTAGAATCTCTTCAAGTACCAGACACAACACAGGCTCTATAATCTCTTCAGGCTCTACAATCTTTCAAGACTTTTTAAAGTCTTTTCCTTAAAACTAAGTCAAGCACCCATGATGAGATACCATCTCTAATTTACAAAAAAAGCCTCCAGATTTCTAGCTCCTGCCATTGCATTGCTCTTCAACAAATCACTCGAACTCCAAACCTTTCCAGATATTCTAAAAAAAAGCGAGAGTAACCCCAGTCCACAAATGTTGTGATCTCACTGATGTCAACAATTACAGACCTATATCAATTCTGCCAACCTTGTCTAAAATATTTGAAAAGTTAATCTACAAGTAGCTTTACTCATATCTTGCCAAACTCAATATACTTAGCTCTTGCCAATATGGTTTTAGACCCAATAAAAGCACTAACGATGCACTATTAGTATGATTAACTTGATAAATACTGCTCTTGATAAAAATGAGTTCCCTGTTGGGTTATTTGTGAACCTACGTTAAGCTTTTGACACTGTCAACCACAAAAACCTTCTTCTTAAATTACATCATTATGGAGTCAGAGGTAATACCTTCAGTCTTACCTTACTGAAAGGCCCCAGTATGTTTCTGTGAATAATTCCATTTCTCCTACACTACCCATAAACATTGGCGTTCCACAGGGCAGCATACTTGGCCCTCTCCTCTTTCTCAACTACATTAATGACCTTCCAAATTCCTCTCAACACCTCAAACCAATCTTATTTGATGATGAAACAACTTTCATTTTTTCCAGTCCTGACCCCCCTTGCTCTAAGTGTTACAGTGAATACTGAACTTAATAAAGTCCATCTTTGGCTAACTGCTAACAAACTCTTAACATTTACAAAACTTTCTATATACCCAAAGAGAAGGAAAAGAAAGGGCTGACCCTGGAGGCGCCACAACAAACTCCGCAATGCACAGCCAAGACAACAGGCTGCTACTTGCGACCCAAGGCAACAAGAATGCACAGGAGCAGATGCGCATAAAGAATGGGCGGCCAAGAACCTGTGCGACCCTCAAATCCCTGCGGCCGAAATGAACCCTAGACGTCACCAACGCAGCAGCAAAAGCTGCAAACGTCCGAACAGCACAGGCGCAAGGAAAGAATGCAGGCTGGAAAACTTAAAAACTCTGCGGACGACCTGGGAGACCCGAGCCCTGAAACAGGGAATGAGGGAACCGGATCAACACAAAGCAACCAGCTCTCGCACTTGCCTACAGTCAATATTGGCTTATTTAATAAGTGCATATGTGACATACTAATTGATTGTGAATATTTTAGTTTACCTTGAAAAGCTTCATAGAAAACACCGACCTCACCTAACCTTCTTAGTATGTTAAGATAAGCATCTTATTGCTTCTTAATTTCAATTATTACTTAACCTATACTATTGATAGGTTAAGTAATAATTGTAAATAAGAAGCAATAAGATGCTTATCTTAACATACTAAGAAGGTTAGGTGAGGTCGGTGTTTTCTATGAAGCTTTTCAAGGTAAACTAAAATATTCACAACCAATTAGTATGTCACATATGCACTTATTAAATAAGCCAATATTGACTGTAAACAAGTGCGAGAATGGGTTGCACAAAGCGCATCCCCAGACATGGTACACAGGTAACGGCAAAAAAAACCCTTCTGGAAAGCAGCCGTCTCGACCGTCGCCAGAAGGACGGAGAAAGGCTGCAAACATACAAACCTACTACCAGTACCAAAGAGCAGAAACCTTAACCGAAGGGGCTACCACAAACTGAGGAGAAGATAAAATGACACCCTGATCAAGGACCAGGACGGCTCAGGCGACACATGAGCAGGCCGGAGGTGAAACAAAACACGAGAAAGCGTACGAAATGGGGCAGATGTGATGTCCACCCCGAACGCAAGCCAGAGCGGCTCCGCCAGCACCGCACAAAACGAGGCGATAGTAAGAAACATCAAAAACTGTAGTCCTGAAAACCCAAGAAAGAACAAGACAACCCGATGTGAAAGAGAAGACAACCTACGAAGAGCAAGAAAAAGTGCATAGAAACACCAGGAACGTCATACTGTCGCCGAGACGAAGCTCGCAGGTGGGACACCATCAACAAAGCCACCTGATCACCACAGAGATGGTGATACCCGTGTAAAAAAAACCAGACGCGAAGAGCCGAGGAGAAGACCGAACCAGTCACGTACAGGACCGGTCCGACCTGCCGAAAGAGGCGGAGCCGCGGGAAAATGCCCCGGGTTCGGACACCTATCAAGCAGCGTCTGAAAATAATGCTGGGCCGGCCACCAAGGGACCATAAGGACTACTCTCGTAGGAATGGGATCCAACCGAGCCAGAACCCGAAGCAACAACTGGACCGGGAGAAGAGGAACAGGTACCCCCACCTCAACCAGTCCTGCCGAAAGGCATCCACCATGAACACCTCGCAGGCGGGTAAGAGCACCACATAGAATGGGCAACGCCTAGACAACGCTGACTCGAAGACGTCCATGGCCACGGCCATGGTGGTCGTGGTGTACTCATGGCCATGGTGGTACGTGGTGCACAGGTGTGCTCACCTGTTGTGGGTTCAGTGAGGACACTACAGTAGTACAGTGAGGACACTACAGTAGTACAGTGAGGACACTACAGTAGTACAGTGAGGACACTACAGTAGTACAGTGAGAACACTACAGTAGTACAGTGAGGGACACTACAGCAGTACAGTGAGGACACTACAGTAGTACAGTGAGGACACTACAGCAGTGTGGTGGTGTACTCACCTGTGGTGGCTTCAGTGACCGGACACTCACACAAGAGGCGCACTTCATAATCCTGAAAGTAACAGTGTTAAAGAGTCAGTCATAAGTTTATCAGGACCTTCCAATCCTAATTATTTTTAAATATGCAGTTTAAACAAATTATTACAACATTTAAAAATTAAAACTTTTTATAAAACTTACTACAACCTGTACTAAATTTTATTACACCTTAATAATAATATGAATTGAGTATAATATTTATTATAAAATTTATATTATACTAATTCATATTCTACAAAACATTATATCTACCTGTAATGAATTATAACCATCAACTCCACACTACCTCCTCTCCAGTCTATTACAACCATCAACTCCACACTACCTCCTCTCCAGTCTATTGCAACCATCCACTCCACACTTCCTCCTCTCCAGTCTATTACAACCATCAACTCCACACTTCCTCCTCTCCAGTCTATTACAACCATCAACTCCACACTACCTCTTCTCCAGTCTATTCCAACCATCAACTCCACACTACCTCCTCTCCAGTCTATTCCAACCATCAACTCCACACTACCTCCTCTCCAGTCTATTGCAACCATCCACTCCACACTTCCTCCTCTCCAGTCTATTACAACCATCAACTCCACACTTCCTCCTCTCCAGTCTATTACAACCATCAACTCCACACTACCTCTTCTCCAGTCTATTCCAACCATCAACTCCACACTACCTCCTCTCCAGTCTATTGCAACCATCCACTCCACACTACCTCCTCTCCTGTCTATTACAACCATCCACTCCACACTACCTCCTCTCCAGTCTATTACAACCATCAACCCCACACCACCTCGACCTCTCCAGTCTATTACAATCATCTACAACTTCTGACAATAAAATCATCCCACTAATCTTGCTAGAACGGTTTTCCAACACTTTAGGTCTGTCAAGATTCCAGACTAAAATCTCAATCAATATATTTGTATTGTGCTATTTTATCAATTTTATCTATCGTATCTTATTTTTGTATTTTTTCATCCAATTTGAACACATGTATTTTTGGTTTTGCTATTTATATCTTACACAAAAATTTACAAATTAAAAATTATTTTACCTATTAAAAATAATTTTATAGTACACATCAATATATTTGTCTTATAATTATCTCTCAAATTATAAATACAAAATTGCCAAGCAATGTATATTAATTTCATTGCTGAGTACTGTAACCTTTGCTCATTTATTTCTAAGAACAATGCAAGTGAATCTTCTTGAATATCTACATTCCAAATACTGTACACAAAACAGCACTACCGCGGGAGTGAGATTACTGTCTCTAAAGCCATGCTGTAAATATTCCTGTCTTAAAGTCCTTGCAGTTCTTACCGAGCAGCCTTGAGGGTTGAGGGAGGCGAGACACAGGAGGCCGACCTCTGTGTCGCACACCACGCCCTGGTCCACTCTGCCTGGAGACTTGCGGCCTGGCGGGGCAACACAACAGTTAACAACACCTGCTACAGTGTTACCTAAGTACTCTTGTACTCTGCATGCACACAACTGGTACAGTATAATGGAGATGTAAGGTGATGATCAATTCTAAAAGGCATCTTTAAGCCTTTAATATAGTTCAAACTGTTCATATTGAACATAATGCCTAATTAACTGAAGCCAATTTTGCCATTACAATGTAAATATTTGAGAGAGAGTCAGCTGTAGACCAAATCATTTTCAAGATACTTATTTCCATTCAAGAATAAATGTAATTTAAAGTGAGAAAAAAGAGACAGTGAGTCACAATATATGAGAGTATTATTTAGAAATAGACAGACTCAGTAACACTGAGCAAGAACGTCAGACTGGCAGCATCAGTAGAAGTAGTGTATTGCTGAAGAGGAGTGCAAGTGCACATTTGTGTGTTGCTTGAGAAGGGTAATTCTCCGGTGGGTGGGGTCTCTGTGGGCGCCAGAGTCTTATACATCAAAGGAGGTCTCAAAACACTACAGTCCGGCCATTAAGCAGTGGGGGGGGGGGGGAACAGACCAGAGTGGCAGATTCCTGGAGAGCATTATTCTGCTCATTTTGTGTGGAGGGCACCAGTGGGCTGTAACCCATCCAGCAGCTGGTATCAAGCTACCAACTGAACCAGAAGCGAGCACACCAGTCACTCGCTCACACACACACACACACACACACACACACACAACACACCTGTGTGTGTACTCACCTATTTGTGCTTGCAGGATCGAGCATTGACTCTTGGATCCCGCCTTTCCAGCCATCGGTTGTTTACAGCAATGAATCCTGTCCCAATTCCCTATCATACCTAATTTTAAAATTATGAATAGAGTTTGCTTCCACAACCTGTTCCCCAAGTGCATTCCATTTTTCCACTACTCTCACGCTAAAAGAAAACTTCCTAACATCTCTGTGATTCATCTGAGTTTCCAGTTTCCACCCATGTCCCCTCGTTCTGTTATTATTACCTGTGAACATTTCATCTATTTCCACTTTGTCAATTCCCCTGAGTATTTTATAAGTCCCTATCATATCTCCTCTCTCCCTTCTTTTCTCCAGTGTCGTAAGGTTCACTTCCTTCAGACGCTCTTCATATCCCATCCCTCGTAACTCTGGGACAAGCCTCGTCACAAACCTCTGAACCTTCTCCAGTTTCCTTACGTGTTTCTTCAGGTGGGGGCTCCATGATGGCATGGCATACTCTAAGACTGGTCTCACGTAGGCAGTGTAAAGCGCCCTAAAAGCCTCCTCACTTAGGTTTCTGAATGATGTTCTAATTTTCGCCAGTGTAGAGTACGCTGCTGTCGTTATCCTATTTATATGTGCCTCAGGAGTTAGATTAGGTGTTACGTCCGCTCCCAGGTCTCTCTCTCGAATCGTTACAGGTAGGCAGTTCCCCTTCATTGTGTACTGTTCCGTGTGTAATTACCTAACTGTGTATGTGTGTGTGTGTGTGTGTGTGTGTGTGTGTGTGTGTGTGTGCTAATACTTCTTAGTATTGGCAATGCTGAGATGAGGTAACAAGCAAAGTATGGTATAGTATGGCAAAGAAAAGCATAAACAACCTAGTAAATCCCAGGCAATAACAACACAGTGATTACTAAACTGAAACATTTACGATGACTCCTCTGTGACTCATGACGCCATGACACTGACAAACAGCACTGGTGCTACACGTCACATTAAACAAATAAAATATCGAAAGTTACATAAGACTATAAAGAACAAACAAATACTTTCCAAAATCAAAACTTACTTCCTTTCACTCGACATTCAATGTGGAGTGGTGTGGGGCAGGACAGGCGGTCGAGCAGGTCAGCCAAAGGCTCTCTCTCGTCTCCTAAGCTGGGGGTTGACTCACTCATCCACGGGCTCCATTCAGTACAACTTGGCAGCTATATAATTAAAAAAAATTGTCTTTTAATGTGTTTCCATAAGAAAAATTGAGGATCAGCATCACACTACCTCATACGACGTTAATGATTGTATACTAGCCAACACCTCTCAGAAGACATGAGGTAAAGTGTATAACACAAGGTAAACTAACAAAAACACAAACCCTCTAGGAAGTAAAGTCAAACTATATAATTACATATCATCAACATAATAGATGACAACTATAAGCGATGACACTGGGAAGCTTATATGTATATAATAAGCCTTGTTGAGTGGAGCAGTACAATTACGCTCCCACTCCTCACATTATTACAAAATATAAAGGTCATCTAAACTTAAAACAGATGTAGCAGGAGACCAGCTACCGTGGGTCTGACCTGGCCATTGAACAGCACAAGATGGGGGGGAGAGAGAGACAGAGAGACAGAGAGACAGAGAGAGTGAGAGAGTGAGAGAGAGAGAGAGAGAGAGAGAGAGAGAGAGAGAGAGAGAGAGAGAGAGAGAGAGAGAGAGAGAGAGAGAGAGAGAGAGAGAGAGTGAGTGAGTGAGTGAGTGAGTGAGTGAGTGAGTGAGTGAGTGAGTGAGTGAGTGAGTGAGTGTGTGAGTGTGTGAGTGTGTGAGTGAGTGAGTGAGTGAGTGAGTGCGTGAGTGAGTGAGTGAGTGAGTGAGTGAGTGAGTGAGTGAGTGAGTGAGTGAGTGAGTGAGTGAATGAGTATGTGTGTGTAATAACCTACGTGTAATTACCTAAGTGTAGTTACAGGATGAGAGCTACGCTCGTGGTGTTCCGTCTTCCCAGCATTGTCATATAACGGTTTGAAACTACTGACGGTCTTGGCCTCCACCACCTTCTCACCTAACTTGTTCCAACCATCTACCACTCTGTTTGCGAAAGTGAATTTTCTTATATTTCTTCGGCATCTGTGTTTAGCTAGTTTAAATCTATGACCTCTTGTTCTTAAAGTTCCAGGTCTCGGGAAATCTTCCCTATCGATTTTATCAATTCCTGTTACTATTTTGTACGTAGTGATTATATCACCTCTTTTTCTTCTGTCTTCTAGTATTGGCATATTTAATGCCTCTAACCTCTCCTCGTAGCTCTTGCCCTTCAGTTCTGGGAGCCACTTAGTAGCATGTCGTTGCACCTTTTCCAGTTTGCTGATGTGCTTCTTAAGATATGGGCACCATACAACCGCTGCATATTCCAGCTTTGGTTTAACAAAAGTTGTGAACAATTTCTTTAGTATTTTGCCATCCATGTATTTAAAAGTAATTCTGAAGTTAGAAAGCGTACTATAGGCTCCTCACACAATGTTCTTAATGTGGTCCTCAGGTGACAGTTTCTATCTAGCATCACCCCTAGATCCCTTTCTTTGTCAGAATTCTTTAAAGATTTCTCACATAATTTATAGGTTGTGTGGGGTCGATGTTCTCCAATTCCACATTCCATAACATGGTATTTATTCACATTAAATTCTATTTGCCAAGTGTTGCTCCATATACTTATTTTGTCTATTTCGTCTTGAAGAGCATGACAATCATCTAGGTTTCTTATCTTCCCTATTATCTTAGCATCATCAGCAAACATGTTCATGTAATTCTGTATTCCCACTGGTAGATCATTTATGTAAACAATGAACATTGCCGGTGCAAGAACTGAACCCTGTGGTACTCCACTCGTGACCTTCCCCCAATCCGAAACCTTGCCTCTGATTACGGCCCTCATTTTTCTGTCAGAAAGATTTCATTTTGTACAAAGACACTTTGGAACTTTTCGTTTAATGTTTCACACATTTCCTTTTCATTTTCCGTGAATCTATTTCCCATTTTCAACCTCTGAATATTATCCTTTACCTGGAATTTGTTGTTTATGAATTTATAAAATATACCTGGTTCTGAATATACATTTGTCTGCAATCCCTTTTTCAAAATTTCTTTCTGCCTCTCTCCTCACTGCCGTGTAGTTGTTTCTCGCATCTTTGTATCGCTAGTATGTTTGGGGGTCTGGCCTCTTCCTGTATTGATTCCATTTTTGTGTCTTTTGGTCTCTGACCCTATCGCAATTTCTGTTGAACCAATCCTGTTTCCTAGTTCTGCATCTCTGTTTTGGTATAAATTTTTTTGTACCTTTATCATATATTTTACAAAACTTGACATACATCTCATTCACTTCCTTGCCTAGCAACAAGTCTGTCCAATTATACTTACTAAAAAAATTTCTAAGGTTGCCATAATGTCCTCTCCTGAAGTCTGGTTTTTCAACTGCTTCAACCTCCTTATTTTCTTCCAGATTATAATGCATTGCATACTTTATTCCCAAAAAGACATGATCACTTTTACCCAAGGGAGGAAGGTACTGAATGTCAAGTATTTCTTCCTCCTTCCTGGTAAATATCAAATCTAACATGGAGGGAACGTCCTCTTCCCTCATCCTCGTAGCTTGTTTAACATGTTGATACAAGAATGTTTCCAGGATGAGGTCTACAAATCTACAGGTCCAAAAATCTTCTGTTTTAGCTTCATATGCTTCCCAGTCTATGTATTTCAAGTTGAAGTCACAGACTATCAACAGTCGTGATCTATCATTATTCGCTCTCGCTATAATCTCTCATTATTGTTATAAGACCTTCTCGTTTACTATCTAGCTCCTCCTTTGACCATGTGCTGCTTGGCAGTGGACTATATGCATTTATGATCATTAGTTTATCATCCTCATGGTAGATCTCAAGTGCTATTATGTCAACTTCTTGTGGATTGGCAGTCATTATTTCGTTCACCTTTAGGTGTTCTTTCACCAGCATGGCAACGCCACCGCCTTTCCTAATTTTTCTGTCCCGTCTCCAAATTGAGTAGCCCCTTGGGAATATGACCTCATTTAAAATAACATCTCCAAGTTTTGTCTCCGTGAGTGCAACAATGTCTGGTGTCTGCAGCTGTATTACATCACTTAACCCTAGTATCTTCGATCTCACTCCATCTATGTTGGTGTATGGAATTTTCAGGAACTTGTTCCCCCTCTCCTTATTCCTCTCTCCGCCTCTTTCTAATCCTTTTGTTGGTTTGCCTTTATGTACCACTTTACTGGTCTGCCTACTCCTATCACTTTGTAGAAAAAAGAACTGATTTCTTCTTCATTCCTGCTCTCATTTAAAGGTTTTGCCTCGGCGAGGTTCAGTGTCAGCTTCTCTCTATCTTCTTTTGAAAGATCTCGTCTTAACAACCACACTTTCCCGTCCTCATCACTTTTGTAATTTTCTAGCATTCCTTAGTACTTCTTCCATCTGTTTGGCACCATTTAGGGTGATCCTCAAAGGTCGATCTTTCCCTTTTACAAATCTGCATATTCTCCTGTAGTCACACACATTCTCTATGGTAGTAAGACCTTCCACGAGGCCAACAATTTTATCTACTACTTTCGTTTCTTCTACAGCTCTTTCTGACCTAGATGTTATCTCCTTTTCTTTGTCTTGTGTGTGTGTGTGCGTGCGCATGCATGAGTGAGTGCACACACATGTGCATTATAATGTAATGTAATGTAACATTTACAGTTTACTGTTATATATTAATAGGAGAGTCAAGCATATTAAATGAATTCCAGAAGAAAGAATAAAATTATACACCAAGAGGATGGACATTATATATATCTTCAAGGATAGGATGATGCAAATCTACAAGCACTCCTAGGGTTAGAATAACGCAAATCAGGAGACCTTAGAAGCATGTATTTGAAACGTCATATCCAAAAGTGGATTAACACTGATGATAATACATAAGATGTTTATATCTTACCGGTGTGGAAGGGGATGGAGTTGTCAATGTGGTCAACGTCGGCGTGACGCAAACGTCTTTACAGTCGAGGTTGTTGTTGACGCACTGGCAAATCTCACAATCACTTTTCCTCACCGGTTGGCCAGGCTGAACGTGCACAATTGTCGCATGGTAGAGACACAAAATATTAAACATTGTAAAATACGAGACAAATCACGGAAAATTATGCTGTATGAACATGCGAACATTGATTGAACTGAAAAATTTTAGACGAAAGTTAACAGTGTACTCATAAGGGCAAGACTTTTGTAACATGAAACTCGATTTGAAGAGAACAATGTTAACCTTAAGACTCAGTATTGGGTACCATGTAGGCACGATCTCCAAATGGCGTCGCTTCAACTTTGAATCAACATTAATTCAATGTTGAATCAACGTTGGTGACGTTAAATTAACATTGCTCGTGGCAATTCAGGTCTCTGGGTGGAACATTTATTGAGAGCATCATCTGGTTAATAGGTAACTCTAGAGTATTCAGAAGCAAACACCAATATAACCTCCATTTGAAAGAAGAGACAAACAAATGTTGACTAAATTTGCATACCGCGCATGGCTAGCAATGACGGGAGGGGACATGACATGCAACTGAAAGTACAGTGGAACAACTGGAATGGTGGAAGGGACAAGGAGCTTGTTAACACCTTACTCATCACCTCTTATATACTCCTTAGTCTCTATCGCCATCAGACTTACACATTACACTCACAACACATCTGCCTCTCTAGTTACTGCTCTTACAATGTTCATTCTTACGAATATATATGTATAAATATAACTATGGTTTAAGTCAAACAATTTATACTAGTAATTTATTAGCTCATTTGACAAGTCCTTTAAACATATTCTCTTCACTGCACTAATCTTCTACAACTATAGTGTAATATAATGTAGACATATACCATATAATCTAGATGTACAGTACCTCACCCATACCTTCCAGTTTCGTACATTGAACCTGCTCCACTGTCATATTTACTAGTGTTCAACCGAATCCTCGAGGAGTCCTATACCAAAGCCAGAGTGCTCGAGATGGTCCTATACCACAGCCAGAGTGCTCGAGGGGGTCCTATACCACAGCCAGATTGGTCGAGAGGTCCTATACCACAGCCAGAGTGCTCAAAGGGTCATATACCAGAGCCAGAGTGCTCAAGGGGTCATATACCAGAGCCAGAGTGCTCAAGGGGTCATATACTAGAGCCAGAGTGCTCAAGGGGTCCTATACCACAGCCAGAGTGCTCGAGGGGTCCTATACCACAGCCAGATTGGTCGAGAGGTCCTATACCACAGCCAGAGTGCTCGAGGGGTCCTATACCACAGCCAGAGTGCTCAAGGAGTCCTATACCACAGCCAGAGTGCTTAAGGGGTCCTATACCACAGCCAGAGTGCTCAAGGGGTCATATACCACAGCCAGAGTGTTCAAGGGGTCCTATACCACAGCTAGAGTTCTCAAGGGGTCCTATACCACAGCCAGAGTGCTTAAGGGGTCCTATACCAGAGCCAGAGTGCTCAAGGGGTCCTATACCACAGCTAGAGTTCTCAAGAGGTCTTATACCACAGCCAGAGTGCTCAAGGGGTCCTATACCACAGCCAGTGCTCAAGGGAGTCCTATACCACAGCCAGTGCTCAAGGGGGTCCTATACCACAGCCAATGCTCAAGGGGGTCCTATACCACAGCCAGAGTGCTCGAGAGGGGGGTCTTATACCACAGCCAGAGTGCATGCGGTCACTGTGTGAAACCTTAATCGGGCTTCATTGAAAGTTTTAGGAACCCCTACAAGATTCAGTTGAATCACTGGTTCCGTTGCTTTTGAGCATGTCGTGGTTAAGCAGGCGTGTGCGTGGGAGTACCCAGTGTGCAAGTTCAAATCCTCCTCATGGCTCCTACTGTTTTTATCATTGATATATCACTTTAATGTGATTTCTTTAACCATTATCATTGTCAATATTATTATTATTATAATTAATATTCCGTGTTTCTACGTTACGATGACTGGAATAGCAAATTGGTAAGGAAATATTATAAGATCATCTTAAATTCCAGGTTGAGGAAAAATGTGACAAATTTTAACTATACCAAAAAAAGGACATATGCAAAACGGCAAAGCAGACCCCAGTGAATGAATGGGTACAAGGCTGCAGGACACGGAAGACATTACCGGAACTGAGACGCCGTTGAGGTGGCAGTTGCAATCTCGGCGGCTGACGCAGGTGTGGAGGTCGCGGAGGTACTGGCCGGCACCACACTCCTCGCACACACTCACACTCTCCTCGTCGTGCTGAAACACACACACACAAACACCTCTAAGTCACCACCCATAGTAACTGCCATCCACAGTACTCACTAAGTATCAAGGGCAATGAATTATATAATCAAATAATTATCAGAAGGGAAGGGAATTGTCAGGGGTAAAGCGCCAAGCCATTACGACTATATAGCACTGGGAAAAGGTCAGGATACGGGTAATTATCGTAAGTAAATAAGAATTAAAAGCATGCATTTATGAAACATTTAATGATCAAAATTATGCAATTATGAAAAGTATGCAATCAAAAGTACAGTATTTAATTTGCACTTATCAAAAAGTAGGCAATAATCAAAAGTGAGACTTATCAAAGGTAGGCAATTATCAAAAGTATATAATTACCAAAGATATGTAATTCCAAAAAGTATGCAGATATCAAAATATAATAATGATCAAAGGAAAGCTGTGAGCCTCTGTGGCTAAATAGCACTAATGTATGATGAAGAATACAATAATAAACTTTAAACACTAGACAAAGATAATTCACACTCCTGTATGCAATTGCACGTTGCTGTAAATAGAATTGCTGTAAATAATGCTTCAGGTAGTGTAACATGTAACAATATTATGTTTGTTGCTCTAAGTTAGCGCAGGTGAAGGTTGGCCAACTGTGGTTAATTAACAAGGCCCAGTGTAAACCTGGCATTTTCTCTCTCTCTTACCATATCGTCCAACTATACCCAATACAAACTTCAATATTCTTATTTGGTAATATAGCGTGCATCTAGTCACTCAAAATCTTCTTCTGTCTGTTTAGTAAATTGATATTATATTTTGGTATTTGCTCCTAAGAATCATTAATGTAATTTTTAATCTGTAGAGAAACTGTGTTTGTTAGTTTTTGGTTGATTCTCACCAAAATATTAAACACTAAATTAAAATTAAATTATATTAGAAAGAATACTTTTATATTATTTTACCAGACATTTGCCAGACGTCTGCAAGTGGAAGCGGTGGTGGAGACAAACGTGGTCACAGCGCATCATATAAAGACATTCTGAAACACAAGACCCCAACACCACCTCATTACAACAACCCTCATCACAAACCACAAGTTTCTCTATTATGAACAAAAATTATTTGTTAATCTTATTTGTTAAAAATAAATTATTGTTAATCAACAACCCAGCATTCCTCCCAACTGAAATGTTAGAGAGCTTCCCCAGCTCTAAGAGGATGAATAACCTCAGGTAACTACTGTACCATATTAGCAAGATGGATGAATTAATGTAGGGCGTTGTTGTTGTTGTTTAAGATTCAGCAACTCGGAACAAAAAGTTCGAAGTAGCACAGGCAATGGTGAGCCCGTCGTGGGCTTATCTGGCACATGAGTGGGGCAAGTAGCACAGGCTATGGCGAGTCCATCGTGGACTTACCTGGCACAGGAGTGGGGGAAGTGGCACAGGCTATGGAGAGCCCGTCGTGGACTTACCTGGCACAGGAGCGGGGCTGTAACTTGGGATGTAGGGCGGGGTGTTGGTGTTATTATGTAGTGAACTGTTATGATCACCTTAGCAATAATAATTAATATACTGTACTGAGATCTATATATCAAAGTCAAAATTGAGAGAAAGTGAAAGAATATGACAAATCCTGATAATATTACAAGCAATTATAAAAATATTAGGCAAATATAGCAGGATTATCGTGTATGTATAAGAACAAATCAACAAGGGATCCTCTTGGAAGCAGTAGCACTCCAGGTTGCAATTCTTATACTATGTGGTGGTACAGTTGACAAGAGTGCATCTGGGAACACTCGGTGCTTAGGTTTGAAACCTCATCACGGCCCTTGTGGATTTGTTATTTGATATATCACATTATTGTGATTTCTGTGTGTAGGGTATGTATATATTCAGCAAAGCAGGATAAAACCCTCAATCATCGCTCAAACTAGCAGCTTTCATTACACAATACTGCACAAGTTCTGCCTTCATAGTTTGATATAGACGAAGCCTACAATATAATCTCAACCTGTCCTAAACTCAAGTTCATTCAAACAAACCCAATACCTCAAGTTCCAAAACAAACCCAATACCGACCTTTGGTAATATCGACTCCCAGACCAGAATATGAGGCTCCAGATACCAGTCTCTTAAACCAATCGTTATTACTGGCAGATTGGTATAAAAGAAGCCATTAAATTGAGTGGATACTGCACATGCAACACACACACACACATGTGTGTGTGTGTGTGTGTGTAATTACCTAAGTGTAGTTACAGGATGAGAGCTACGCTCGTGGTGTCCCGTCTTCCCAGCATTCTTTGTCATATAACGCTTTGAAACTACTGACGGTCTTGCCCTCCACCACCTTCTCACCTAACTTGTTCCAACTGTCTACCACTCTGTTTGCGAAAATGAATTTTCTTATATTTCTTCGGCATCTGTGTTTAGCAAGTTTAAATCTATGACCTCTTGTTCTTAAAGTTCCAGGTCTCAGGAAATCTTCCCTATCGATTTTATCAATTCCTGTTACTATTTTGTATGTAGTGATCATATCGCATCTTTTTCTTGTCTTCTAGTTTTGGCATATTTAATGCTTCTAACTTCTCGTAGCTCTTGCCCTTCAGTTCTGGGAGCCACTTAGTAGCATGTCTTTGCACCTTTTCCAGTTTGTTGATGTGCTTCTTAAGATATGGGCACCACACAACTGCTGCATATTCTAGCTTTGGCCTAACAAAAGTCGTGAACAATTTCTTTAGTATATCGCCATCCATGTACTTAAACACACACACACGCACGCGTGTGCATGTGTGTGTAATTACCTAAGTGTAGTTACAGGATGAGAGCTACGCTCGTGGTGTCCCGTCTTCCCAGCACTCTTTGTCATATAACGCTTTGAAACTACTGACGGTCTTGGCCTCCACCACCTTCTCACTTAACTTGTTCCAACCGTCTACCACTCTATTTGCGAAGGTGAATTTTCTTATATTTCTTCGGCATCTGTGTTTAGCTAGTTTAAATCTATGACCTCTTGTTCTTGAAGTTCCAGGTCTCAGGAAGTCTTCCCTGTCGATTTTGTCAATTCCTGTTACTATTTTGTTTGTAGTGATCATATCACCTCTTTTTCTTCTGTCTTCTAGTTTTGGCATATTTAATGCTTCTAACCTCTCCTCGTAGCTCTTGCCCTTCAGTTCTGGGAGCCACTTAGTAGCATGTCTTTGCACCTTTTCCAGTTTGTTGATGTGCTTCTTAAGATATGGGCACCACACAACAGCTGCATATTCTAGCTTTGGCCTAACAAAAGTCATGAACAATTTCTTTAGTATATCGCCATCCATGTATTTAAATTCAATTCTGAAGTTAGAAAGCATAGCAAAGGCTCCTTGCACAATATTCTTTATGTGGTCCTCAGGTGATAGTTTTCTATCTAGAACCACTCCTAGATCTCTTTCTTTATCAGAATTCTTTAAAGATTTCTCACATAATATATAGGTTGTGTGGGGTCTATGTTCTCCTATTCCACATTCCATAACATGACATTTATTAACATTAAATTCCATTTGCCAAGTGGTGCTCCATATACTTATTTTGTCCAGGTCTTTTTGAAGGGCATGACAGTCATCTAAATTTCTTATCCTTCCTATTATCTTAGCATCATCAGCAAACATGTTCATATAATTCTGTATACCAACTGGTAGATCATTTATGTACACAATAAACATCACTGGTGCAAGAACTGAACCCTGTGGTACTCCACTTGTGACATTTCTCCATTCTGATACATTGCCTCTGATTACTGCCCTCATTTTTCTATCAGTCAGAAAATTTTTCATCCATGATAGAAGCTTACCTGTCACCCCTCCAATATTTTCCAGTTTCCAGAACAACCTCTTATGTGGAACTCTGTCGAAAGCCTTTTTTAGGTCCAGATAGATGCAGTCAACCCAACCATCTCTTTCCTGTAATATCTCTGTGGCTCGATCATAGAAACTGAGTAAATTCGATACACAGGATCTTCCAGATCGAAAACCATACTGTCTGTCTGATATTATATCATTTCTCTCTAGGTGTTCTACCCATTTAGTTTTGATTAGTTTTTCCAATACTTTCACTATTACACTTGTTAATGATACAGGTCTATAATTGAGGGGGTCTTCCCTGCTGCCACTTTTGTAGATTGGAACTGTAGTGTGTGTGTGTGTGTGTGTGTGTGTGTGTGTGTGTGTGTGTGTGTGTGTGTGTGTGTGTGTGTGTGTGTGTGTGTGTGTGTACATGCTGTTGAGGACATTACCTGGGGTAGATGAGGTGATCTCTGAAAGAGAGGAAAAAAACAGCATTGAATGTAATGAAAAACCATTTTCTGGGTGAGTCCCGGAGGCTCCCTGTAGTTATCCCTTATGGCTGATAAGGATATCCCTAACTTTGGCATCAGTCGATATGGGTGGAGTTCTAGGCCTACCGGGGACCACGGCCAGAACCTGGCCCTCTCAGAAAGGCATGAGGAGCAATGGCCTATAGAAATGCACATGTGATTGTGGAGCATTCTATATCTGCCATCGACCAGGACAGGCACCCAGAAAGGTAAGCACCACAAAACACATCCCTATTCTGGTGAAAAGGACTAAAAAAGATAAACGAGTGGACAGAAAATGAAAATGAGCAAACGAGCACGACATCACACGAGCCGCAATGCATATCTGTGCAGCTTCTCCCCTATCCGGGGTGGAGGGAGGAAGGGGGAGCCCCAGACCCCCGTGCCGGTGATCTACACCCCAGTTCTGAGGCTGGATATCAAAATAAGCGAAAACTGCCAACTGGAGGGAGGTAGGGTTGCCGGGGAGACTCCAGGACTCGCCCAGAAAATGGAGTTTCATTACATTCAACGCTGTTTTCTGGGGGAAGCCCCTACAGCTCCCAGGAGCTACTTCACCAAAGAGGAAAAAGAAAGGAGACTTACCCGGGAGACGGTCGCTTACATCTCAACTCGAAGTCGCGACAACTGGCTGCAACCGCCGACCCAAAGCGACACAGGCCAGACCACGCCCAGGAACAATCACGAGGTAGCATGCAGCCAGGACCCTGTTCGATCGCCAAAATCCCTGTGCCAAAGCGTCAACCCAGGACATGTTACCAAAGATGGCAGCAAGAGCAACAAACTTACAAATGTCATGGGTACGGGGAGAGGCTGCAGGTTGGTTAGCTTTAATAACCATGAGGACGACCTGAGAGACCCGTACCCGAGAACAGGGAAGAAGGGAAACTGGATCAACCCAGAGCGCATCCCCAGACACAGAAGCTGTGGCGTGCAAATAACGGCAGAGGGCTGCAACCGGAGACGGCACATGATGCACCCCTGGCCTGACCAACCAAGCATCAACAACCCAAGGACCCATCCAGAAAGCAGCGGTCTCAATCTTCATCAAAAAAGAAGGTGACGGCTGCAGACGAACAAACCTATCACCACGACCAAAAGAGCAAAAACCCATGTGCCAGAGAAGAGCATGAAGCTCAGCAAACCCGACCCCCCCCGAGGCCAATGTCAACAGGAAAAGAGCCTTAGCAAAACAATCCTGAACCAAAGGGGCCACGACAAACCAAGGAGAGGAGAGATAGGAGAGCATGCTGTCCAAAGACCAGGACAGCTCAAGCAGAACATGAGCAGGCCAGAGGTGAAACAACACATGAGACAGCTTGCGAAACAGTGCAGAAGCGATATTTATACCGAAAGCAAGCTGCAGTGGCTCCGCCAGCACCGCACGATATGAGGCGACAGTATGCGCCAAGCCGACAGTCCCAAACCTCCATGGGAGGACAAGACGCAAAATGCAACAAAAGTGCAGGATATCCAGGAAGAGATAAAAAGAAGAGGAAGGACCACCAACAAAACCCCATACCACTGCCAAGACAAAGCACACAGGTGGGACACCATCATTGAAACCACCTGATCGCCGAACAGATGGCAAGAGACCTGAGTCAAAAGTACCAGACTGGAAGACTTAAGGAAAAGACCGAACCAGCCCCGTTACAGACCAGACCGATCATTTGAAAGAGGCGAAGCCGTGGGAAACCCCAGGGGTCAGACACTGAGCAAGCAGCGCCCGAAACCAAGGCGCTGAAGCAAAGAACCTGAAGGAACATCCATCAGGGAACCAGGAACCCAAATCTGGAGAGTCGGGAAAGAACCAACACGGGTGAGCAGACCCGCCCCATTCGGAAGGAACCCCCCTCCCCCCTGGGACCCCTAAAGGACCAACAAAGCGAATAACGGATGACAACGAGAAGAAGTCACTTGCCGAAAGAGCCGAACCGCAGACTCTGCAAACAACAAGGACAACATAGTGACGAAAGCCTAAGAGCTAGGGCCCAGGCAGAGGCCAACGAGGAAGCAAGCACCACGAGCTGACACGCGTGACGTGAAGTGAAAACAGTGACACCGCAACCCGCAGGAGCAGGGCAACCAGCCCCAGCAGGGCAGAATGATGCACACGTCTCAGAAGAACAGATGAGGAAATTTACCCATGACATACGTGTACCGCACTAAATACAAAATGTACTGCCCGTCAAAGAAACACAAGGAAAAGGCCATAGGCTGGGCCGTAATCCCAGCTCCCCGTCCCAACAAAAAGGAACTGCAGGGGCAGGAGTGGTTGATTGGAACCTACAGCCATCAGCAGACACTGCAACAGAAGCTGGTAGTGACACAAAAGAAGATGAAAGAACACAGTTCTAGAACATGTAGACAGTCCAACTTAGAAAAAAACAATAGGAGAGCCAAGAATCACATACTAAGACACACTCCAATGTGTGTGTGTATATGTATGTATGTATGTGTGTATGTGTATATATATATATATATATATATATATATATATATATATATATATATATATATATATATATATATATATATATATATATATATATATATATATATATATATATATACATACATACATACATACATACATACATACATACATACATACATACATACATACATACATACACACACATTGGAGTGTGTCTTAGTATGTGATTCTTGGCTGCTCTCCTATTGTTTTTTTCTAAGAAAAACAGTGACCGTCGACACTGTACGACGGTCAAGGAATAGCATTAACTGTGGCAATGAATGAGTCAACGAAGGAGTGTCCAGAAAGCAGTGACTGAGTCAACGAATGAGTCCAGATAGCATACTGAGGCAATAATGAGTGTCCAGATAGCATTGACCGAGTCAATGAACGAGTGTCCAGATGGCATGGATTGAGTCAATGAATGAGTATCCACATAGCAAGGACTGAGTCAATGAAGGAGCGTCCAGATAGCATTGACAGAGGCAAGGAAGTAGTGTCCAGAGAGCATTGATAGAAGCACATAGTAAGGACACGGTAAGATGCACACAAAGTGGTAAATTGACACCCTACAAATAACACCCAACACACATTCAAAAACCGAGAACCAGTGCCTGGCCGACAGTGTCACCAGACAGTATACTCTCACCTGTAGAGTATAGACACTATTGTGTCACGACACAGCTGAGCCATGAAATATTCCAGGAGCAACACTAGTGGATGATGTCCAGAGTTGCGTGAACAGTAGAAGATGAGGTGGAGTGTAAAGTGGAGGCGGCGCCACACCAAGCCACCCCACACCTTAAGCAGAGAAAAGAACTAGGTGTTGTCTCCACATATTAAATCCAGAACTCCCCTAGTATCTAGGGAGCTATGACTGGAAAGAAGATGAGCGAGAGTGGCATATACCCTGCAATAAAGAAGCGGAACACCAACACATGACCACACCGCCAGAAACAAAACAATCGCCTCCGCCGCATGCACCCGAAGACCAAGCCACACCACCCGCCTTGTGGGGAGGGTGCCTAGAAGGTATATTAAACAATTATTAGCAATGTCGAGGCAGAGTATGGAGAGAAGATGGAACGATAAATAATGAGATAATACCGAAAAACGATAGATAGTACAGAAGAGGACCAACGAGCCCTATAAAGGACTGGAGGTAAGTCACACCGGCAGATGACAGACGTTCCAATAATATTGGAAGTAATGACAATCTTTCTGAACCTTTCAAATCCTTGAGAAGCAAGCACAAAAGCATGGTGGCACACATGGGCCCAGTGGCACCCGTGACCAACGGTCATGTAGGATCCAGAAACAATGAGAACATGATTGCGACATGCCGTTGAAGAATATATGTCCTAGATAAGAAGGGTGAGAAAGCGGTAAAAGCACCCACAGGAAGGACGGAACCGATGGACCAGAAGGGACACAGAACTGAACCCAGGGAGGGGCCGACACCCAAACTAACTCATACTCGGAGTGGGAAAAGGAAAACCCCATTCCTTGTAAAAGCACACCCTGCCCTGAGATTTGGAAAACCCAGGCGGGGTCCAACGGTGCCCAAGGCCCCCAAGTCAGCTCCTCCCCAACACCGAGAACCTCCACATCAGGCTCTGGGGGCGAGTCGTCCTCCAAAGCCCCGGCCCCATAAGCAAAGGCCGGGGCAGCCGAGAGAGCAGGAAGAGAGTGGGCCCACTGGTCAGACCCCGGAGCTATGGCTGGAGGAACAGACTCAAATGCCTCCACCGCCACTCCTGAGGGGGCAACCCCTGAAATTGCCTCTAAACCCTGCACTGACCCCAAAGCCCTCAGAAGCTTAGAAGCCAGAAGCAGGGGAGGAGGGTAACCAAATGAACCACAGCAGTGGAAAAATGAGCTGGCGCGAACTGAACCAAAGGCCAGCGTGACCAACACCCCCAAGTCCAGGTCCCTATAAGCAAAACAGGGCAGCCACGGGGCATCCAGGGAAGCAACCAACCTAGCACGTTGCAACAACCTAAACCTACCCAGCAACGCGCGAGTCACCCACACCCAAATAATGCCATAAGTAGATTGGGTTAGCTGAGTCACAAACAAGCAACAAAGCTCGCAAGACTCAGGGTCGAAGGTGTCACCGACCCAACAGGCAGCATGACAGAGGCAAAAACAATGAGCGTCGCCCTGAGACAAGGGGACAGAGCAACCCTCAAACTCGCACAAAGCGAGAGGGGACTCAGAGGTCGCATCCATCGGACCAGAGTGCCCCCCGCAGGGTTTCACAGGGGTCCCTAGACTGGGTCTGCTAAGGGAAATCTCAGGCAGGGTACTGCTAACTGGTGCCCTAGCTACCAACCAACACTGTTAATGCTGAACCCCCCGGGACGTGTCCACTCACGAAGGCGAAGCAGGGGGTACCACCAAACAAAAGTAACTCAAGTATAACATGGATGAAACACCGAGGCAGACCCCCACACCAGGCAAAAAGAAAATGAAAAGAAAAACCTCGCAAGAGGACAGCGTACCCTGAGGGAACAGAGCCAGCCGCTGTTATAGGTGAAAACTAGCTGCGCAGTACCCCGCGCCCCACCAGTGCAAAACTACCACCTACCCCAAGGTAGACAAGGGAGGAAACCCCCTAAAACACTCGGGGCGGTCAATCGCCAAGTAGCAAAAGACCAACAGAGGTAAACCCAAGGTGACTTGTGGAAGGTAATCCCAAGCCACAAGGGCACTCAGGGAAGATGACCTAAAGCACATGCAGCCCGAGTACCTGTGAATATTACTTCCAGCTCACACGCCACCATAAGAACAGTACTGAACCAAAGGCAAGCACAACACAAGAGTCTGGAACTGGAGCCACATGACCATACCGTATCCCATCAGGTGAAGAACTGGAGTGTGGATCGTCTGGGGCTCCCCCTTCTCCCTCCTGGGGAGGGGGAAGCTGCGCAGACATGCAGCGCGGCTCATGTGACGTCATGTTCGTTTGCTCGTTTTCATTTGGGGAGTTCTGTCCAATCGTTTGTCTTTACTAGTTGTTTTCACCAGAATAGGGGTTTGTTTTGGGTCGCTTACCTTTCTGGGTGCCTGTCCCGGTCGATAGCAGATAAAGAATGCTCCACAATCACATGTGCATTTCTATAGGCTATTGCTCCTCGTGCGTCTCTGAGGGGGCCAGGTTCTGTCTCATGGTTCCGGGTAGGCCTAGAACTCCACCCACATCGACTGATGCCAAAGTTAGGGATATCCTTATCAGCCTGGATAGCTCCGGGAGCCGTAGGGGCTCCTACCAGAAAAGTCTTTTAATCCTGGACAAAAAGCGACCGAAAAGGTGAGCTTGTAGCCACACTTCATCTAACAGATCACCAGAGGTGGAGTTGGCAGGCTTATACCTGACTTCACCAAACACAGTAACACACACCTATGAATACATTACCACTTTAAGAATGTACTCTTTGGAAAAGTGGAATTCGTTTACTATTATCATTAAAGTGATTACGTCTGATTATTATTGAAAACAAAATACACGTTGTGAGAGTGCATACATACTAATTTAGATTGAAATTATAGCTTTTTTTTAATTGAAGGAATGCCAGACAATTATTGAAAGAATACTCACAGCCATTCGCGCATGTGCACAGGCACCCCCACATGCTCTCCCGCACTCACTTACTTACTTACTCATTCACCAATGTACATTACTGATGATTATTACCTGGGACTTCTGTTGATGTTACTGAAAGAGAAAAATACATGAGCTGTAGTAAAAACATCAGTACCTTTGAGTGTGATTACTGCATTAAATATAGATACATTAAATATAAGTTCCATGTTATCTTTCATGAGCGAATACACTGATCAATACCACACTGTGTGAGGTTAGTGTGAGGCCCCAGTGTGGTACTGATACACTGATCAATACCACACTGTGTGAGGTTAGTGTGAGGCCCCAGTGTGGTACTGATACACTGATCAATACCACACTGTGTGAGGTTAGTGTGAGGCCCCAGTGTGGTACTGATACACTGATCAATACCACACTGTGTGAGGTTAGTGTACTGATACTGATACTGATCAATACCACACTGTGTGAGGTTAGTGTGAGGCCCCAGTGTGGTACTGATACACTGATCAATACCACACTGTGTGAGGTTAGTGTGAGGCCCCAGTGTGGTACTGATACACTGATCAATACCACACTGGGGTATTGATCAGTGGTATACCACAATACCATATATATTATATATATATGGTACCACACTGGGGTATTGATCAGTGGTATACCACAATACCATATATATATATATATATATATATATATATATATATATATATATATATATATATATATATATATATATATATATATATATATATATATATATATATATAAAGTATTCTACCTCTCAATGCTAATTAAAATGATGTTCCTTAATATTTTTCAGTAATTGCCTCGATCACATAACCCCCTCTCTTATACAATCTTAAATTTTATTTTATTTTAATATAATTCGCATAATATAAACCATTTAATAGATTAAGAAAACCTACACAAATAATAAATATACAATTCCATCTGAAAAAGATCCACTTCCCGCTCGCCCCTTCTGAAGAGCTACGACACTACTTGCCGACCTCACCTTTAACGTCACAGCCCTTGAGCTCCAGCCTGAGGGAGATGCGAGTATGGAAGGTGTCGGGGATGATCCTGATGAAGCGAGCAAACACAGGCGCTGGGAACATGTTGGTCACCGCTGTTGAACTGTCACTATTCCCTGTAAATACCTGTCAATATGACAATGTTTAAAGACATTAATATTTGAGGATAACTTATATTTTTCACTCTTTATTAATCATTGTTTTGATGAAATAATGCATCAAGTTATGAGTAGAATTTGAAGTTATTTTGTCTGTAATGTAAAGCATCTTCAATAAAGTTCCTAAATTTTGAAATTTCCCTTTACAATAATAGTTGACTTCAGAATGATGTTTTACCTATTTTCCTTGCATAAAAAATATCAATTGTCTTTCACATTACAGCTACTTTTCACTAGAATTACTTCCAAAGTCTTTACAACATTTCAATGATTAAACTCTTGAATTTTAAAAAGTTCAAATTTGTGGCCTGAACTAACTTTAGGAGCTGCAGATTCTTCATCCATAACATATTGCCAGGTGTTAGTCTCCGAGAACTGGACAGCGAAGGTCTTCACAAACCAGTTATGGCGTGGGTGCCCTTGAGTCACCACACCTGTCACCTCCTTCACCTTCTCCAGGTCCACCTGTCAATTCACATTACACAAGAAGATGAAGAACAGTAAAAAAAGCTTGTCATTCGTCCAGTGTATCTAGGTGACGGCCAATCAGGTGGTGTCGAGGAAACCAGGGTTTGGTTTACTCTTGGTTTATGTTACTGCTGTAAACTATGTAAGCGGTCAAAAGCATTAGCAGCAATATGTTTTTATCAGTATACAAACACTAATATGCAAATAAACAAAAGTTTACAAATGTACATATAAAACACATAACACACAAGAAATAAAGGTTTACACAGAACACAGAGAACACAGAATATATGTACAACTACACACACACACACATATGGACATGCACACTGACAAGAGACTGGAGAGTACCTGCAGCCATTGCCTCTTTTTTGCAACATCACTGGAGTTCTCGTCAACATCTGCAGTCCAGGCCCCGTCAGCGTTGAGGCGGGCTGCAGAAGGCTTGTCTTCAGGTCCCATAAACGACGAGGCAGTAACTTGGGCATCTGATATGCTGTTATCCTCCATGCCCAGACCATCCTGACATTCACAACGGCATAATACCCGCAACTCATAGTCCTTGCAGGGTTCTTTGCGTGCAGCTGTGGCTACAGATGCAGGGAGATAAACACACGCATGTTAGAGCATTCAAAGATGCATCCGATGATGCAAGCTAATTCCCAGTGACCATAACATCCATGAGAAACATTATCAATGCCGAACTAACGCAACTTTTGAAATTGTACCCACTCATTTCATTCTAATTTATTGACTAGATGGGTTACCAGGCAGTGTCCGGGCTTTTGTTTACCTCTCTTCCCCCTCTCTCCCCCATCCATCTATCCTCCCTCCCTTCCTCTCTCCCATTGCGTCCATATATCCCTCCCGTTCTCTTTCACATAGGTCAATAAATGCTTGACTAACGTTGAATCAAAATGATTGACGTTGAGTAAACACTGATAACAGCTGGAAAGAATTTTGTTAACACAATATAGATAATCAAATCCACATTTCATGCTTCAGAGGAGCTACTGAATTCAGTATTTAGGCACTAAATGACAGGTGTCCCATGCTGCTGGTGTGTGTTGAAGTACTGAATGACAGGTGTACACGCTATTGGTGTGTTGAGGCACTGATTGACAGGTGAACACACTACTCTCGTGTGTTGGGGCACAGAATGATGGGTGTATATGCCGCTGGTGTGTGTTGAGGTACTGAATGACAGGTGTACATGCTGCTGGTGTGAGTTGAGATACTGAATGACAGGTGTCCATGCTGCTGGTGTTGAGGTACTGAATGACAGGTGTCCACACAGCCGGTGTGTGTTGATGTACTGAATGACAGGTGTCCACACTGCTGGTGTGTGTTGAGGTAGTGATTGACAGGTGTCCACGCCCCATTCGAATCCCGGGATTCCCGATTGTGAATTGAAAATGAACCTCAATTAAACTACCGAAACCCTCTGAGGAAGTTAAAATGATACATATATAAGCCCTAGGAAGTTGACATGATATATATTAAGCCTTAGGTTAACATGATACAAGATCACGTGCACTTAAAAATTTGTACATCTTCATCAACAAATCACTCAACATGATACATATACAAGCCTTAGGAGGTTAACATTATACATATACAATCCTTAGAAGGTTAACATGATACATATTAAACCCTAATTATTAATTTCACTTATTGGTGGCATTATCCATCAATGTAATTTTGTATTATCTGTGAAGGTTCTTTGACACATCAGGTGACTGGGAGACTGAATACAGAAGTAACAATTACTGGGTTGTGTAGCACAGTGGTCTACGTCCTCAACTCACAACTGAGGGGGCTCGGGTTTACTCAATGGGCTGGACACAAACGGATCGACATGTTTCATTTCCCCAAATAATGCCTCTTCACCAAGCAGTAAAACAGGTACTTGAGAGCTAGGCAACTGTTGTGGGCTGCATCCTCGGAAGGGTCAGTAGTTGGCCAAAGGGGACCTGGATAAGCCTACGCACAGGCACTATACATTACAAACTTATAATCTTAACATCGGTGTGAACCCACATGCCAGAGCTCCTTAACCACGTACGGAACGTTGGAGAAAATAGATTGGTAACATATAAAACAATACATTTAGGATTGCAATAATTTAGTTAAAATATATATTAACTGAACTGATATATGTATTAATAAATTTATGGCCAGAAAGAAGGTAAGAACATAGCAAACGGACCTTTGCTGGCAGCAGCGTCTGTGCGTTAACTCTTGAGAAAAGTAAGAGGACTTACCACTGTTCATACACACGCCAACAACACAAGACTCGCTGTGTTCACTCCCCCACACAGATTATGCCACAGATAAAGACAGGAATGACCGCTAGTCATGCACCGTGCCTTCTACACTATCACACACTGCATACAAGTACCCACCATTGTTTCTACAAGTGAGACCGGTCCTGTCACACACGGCAAAAGGCTGAGTTTCTCCTCCTCCCACCGGGCGGCATTCCACCTTGGAGATGTAGTTCTCAGGACACACATTGTACAACTGTCAAGGGAATAGAGATGAAACATGTAACAGTACAGTACGGAGCAGGATGCCCTACTCGGCTTATTATGCATTTTGGGTACAGTATTTTAAATTTTGTAAAGATTTTGCTTATTGTAATCGTTCTTGGATGTCATGTTTGGGCAAGCTTTACCCTTGTGATGCTCAGGGCTAATTAGCATTTGTCACCCACAGGCGCATACCAAAAAAAAAAAAAAATAATAATTTTTTCTTCTAAACCAGTTAATTTGTGTTCTCTGATCATGGGAAAAAAATCGTAAGTGGCATATATTGCCCGTTATAGGGCGGGGAAAGTCTGGCAAAAAACAGGTGCTGACTCAGCGTGCATCCCAGACAGTCTGTTGCTCCCAGCTGTCAGGCAGGAGTTGCCAAAAAGAGATAATTACCAAATTATTTCAATGTCTCGGGCACCAGGCCCGGATTCTTGGAACTCCATATTCATAAAGAACTGTAAAAAACCACTATCGCAGGCCCTCCACATTCTGTGGAGACAAAGCCTAGATACTGGCGTTATTCCTGATATACTAAAAACAGCAGAGATAGCACCACTTCATAAAGGAGGAAATAAGGCAGAGGCAAAAAATTACAGACCGATAGCGCTAACATCGCACATCATAAAAATTTTTGAGAGAGTGCTAAGAAGTAAAATCACATGGAATTTAATGTTAATAAATGTCATGTTATGGAATGTGGAATAGGAGAACATAGACCCCATACAACCTATATATTATGTGAGAAATCTTTAAAGAATTCTGATAAAGAAAGAGATCTAGGGGTGGTTCTAGATAGAAAACTATCACCTGAGGACCACATAAAGAATATTGTGCAAGGAGCCTATGCGATGCTTTCTAACTTCAGAATTGCATTTAAATACATGGATGGCGATATACTAAAGAAATTGTTCATGACTTTTGTTAGGCCAAAGCTAGAATATGCAGCTGTTGTGTGGTGCCCATATCTTAAGAAGCACATCAACAAACTGGAAAAGGTGCAAAGACATGCTACGAAGTGGCTCCCAGAACTGAAGGGCAAGAGCTACGAGGAGAGGTTGGAAGCATTAAACATGCCAAAACTAGAAGACAGAAGAAAAAGAGGTGATATGATCACTACATACAAAATAGTAACAGGAATTGATAAAATCGACAGGGAAGATTTCCTGAGACCTGGAACTTCAAGAACAAGAGGTCATAGATTTAAACTAGCTAAACACAGATGCCGAAGAAATATAAGAAAATTCACCTTCGCAAACAGAGTGGTAGACGGTTGGAACAAGTTAAGTGAGAAGGTGGTGGAGGCCAAGACCGTCAGTAGTTTCAAAGCGTTATATGACAAAGAGTGCTGGGAAGACGGGACACCACGAGCGTAGCTCTCATCCTGTAACTACACTTAGGTAATTACACTTAGGTAATTACACACACACACACACCAAGCTACACAAACGAGAATGTTGGTTAAAATGATAGCTGACAAGTGGAGGAGAATAAATACCAGGCGGATATCTTCCAGAGGCTCCAGGTCTCCGTGAATGTCCGGACTGTGAGAATTGTACCACTGGCTCCAGCCCTCCTCTTCACATGGCTTCCCGGTAGTTGTCGGACTTTTTGTGTGTGAGAAAAGTTAATGAACATAGTTTTTTAAGTCTAAAGTTTCCAAATGTGTTTATTGTAAACTCAATAGCCAACTACTTCATTACTATTATAAACAAGCATATATAGAAACATATACACACTTCAGAATACACAAGTTATACATTACACACATCGCTGTTGACGTCTGTGTCGTTCTGGGAGCTGGAAAGAAAATATAGCACAATTACTAATCGCCTTCCAAAACCAAAGACTGAGTGAGTGAAAATTGGCATCTTTACATCAGTAAGAAACAGGAGAAGCACGATATCCGCAGTAAGTGCCTTCACGCCTCGTTGACTGTGCAGCCCGTCCTCCTAAGGTTCCCCAACGTCCAGAAACTGTTGTACTAAAGTGCCCTTATCCTAACCTACCAGAGGACCCAAAACAGAAAATAGGACAGTATGACAATTTCGCGATTTTTCTAGTGCTACAAATTTTGGCTTTAGGTAGAGTTCAGTAGAGTATATGTCAAAATGCGACGATCTAACAGGAGGCCGGGTTGTTCTCGGCAAGACTCTGCTGCAAAAACCTGTCCTCCTAATAGCATGTCGCATATTGACGTACTCTTTACATAAGACCAAAAACTGTTGTACTAGAAAATGGGGTAGCGGCTCACAAAATTTACATACTGTCCCATTTTCTGTTTTGGGTCCTCTGGTAGGTTAGGATAAGGGCATTTCAGTACGACAGTTTTCTGCCATTGGGAAAGCTCACGTGAACGGGCTGGCCACTGGTACTCCATCCTCACCTTCCAAACCAACCCGTCCTCTCAACACGTTGCCTTTTGTACATTTATGGTAACCAACGTTACAAATACAACCTACTACGAAATGTGGGTTACACTTGGGTTCATACTTTTCTGGTTAGGTTAGGAGGTTGGATGTTATACGTAGTGGCAAATGAGGAGAACAGGCCGTCCAAAACACAAGCGAAGATGCTCTAGCATCTCAACTCGTGTTTCAATGTCCAGAGAACAGAAATCAATAAATTAGTAAATAAATTTTTTATCTGGATAGGCTCATTTAACTGGCCTAGTCTGAAAGTGACCTCAAGAGGGATTTCGATCCAGTCAGTAGACATGTTTATGACAAATCTCAAATAATTTGATAAAATTTAATGCATCTTAAATTGGTCACATTAATGTTCCCTCAATTTTCTGTAGAGAGTCCCTTCAGCTCCCCAAAACTATACCGGGCTGATGTGTATATATTAGACCATGGCAGCAGTCAATCAAAGGAGTTCTAGGCTTACTGGACACCAGAGCCAGAACCTGGCTCCTTCAAGAGAGGCATGAGGAGCAATGGCCTAAAGCCACCCCGTGAAATTGGAAGCAGACTTTGTCTGCCATCTATCAGGTCAGGCACCCAGAAAGGTAGGAATTTCAAAACAAACTACTGCTGATCAAATAATTTGCAAACCGCAAGCCGAACTAATAACAGAACTCCCCAATCAAAACAAAGGAAACAAGTATGACATCACCACAAATGCCGTGCATCTGTCTGTGCAACACCCCCCTCCCCGGGAGGGGGATGGGGGGGGGATCCCAGACCTCCACGCCGGCAACTCTTCTCAGTTCAAGAGGCTGTTGTGTTGGTAACGGTCGATTGCTCTGGCTCCACTCTTTGTGCAGTGCAGTGTTGTTGCTCTGTCTTGGTATTGTGTGAGCTAGACGTAACACAAGAGTACTGGGGCTGCTTGCACATAGGGCCGCCTTACCTAGGTGCTCTGTAAGTACTGCCTTTGTGGCCTCAGGGTTATCTTCCATGAGCCATTCAGGAGCAGCTACCTCCATGTGGTTCTGTTGCTGCTCGGTGATTGCCCGCCCTTGGGAGTTCAGCTAGGGTGGTTCTTACTCCTGTTTTCCCTTGGGTTAGGAGGTAGTTTCGCCGCTGGCTGGGCGCGAGGTACTGTGCAGCTGTCTGATATACGCATTGCGACTGGTTCAGTTCTCCTGGAGACGTTGTGCTTTGCAGAGTTTTTCTTTCGTTTTTGTTTTATTTTGCCTGGCGGGGGTGTGCCTGGTGTGGCGGTAGGACCACTGGTAGGTTTTTGGTGGCCCTCCACTAGGTCCCCGTGCTTGCACATGCCGCAGGGGTTCAACTTTTAGAGTGTTTGCTTGGTAGCTTTGGGATAACCAGTTAGCAGTACCTCGCCTGGGATTCCCTTAGCAGTCAGCCTAATGGCCCTGGAAACCCCCACTGGGGCACAGTGGTCCAATGAAGGAGACCTCCGAGTCCCACCTCGCCTTATGCGAGTTTGAAGGTTGCTTTGTCCACCTGTTTTGGGGGGTGACACTCACCGTCTACCTCTGCTTTGCTGTTTGTTGGGGTCAGTGACACCTATGACCCGGAGTCCTGCGAGCGGTGTTCTTTGCTTGTACTCCATTCACCCAGTCCACTGAGACTAATATTTGGGTGCAGGCAGGTTTAGCGTTGCATGCAAGGTTTAAGTTGCAGCAATGTGCGAGGTTGGTTGCCTTTCCGGATGCCCCATAGCTGCCTCACGGAATTACACTGGTAGTAAGACTTGGGTGGCTTCAGAGATTGCCCCTTCAGATTGGTGGCGGAGGCATTCGAGCCTGGTCCTCCTGCCGAAGCTTTTGGGCCACCCCAGCAGCCCCCTTCATCCCTGCTTTTCAGGTGGACTTTGCTTTTTCTTCAAACGCAGAGGGTTTGGAGGACGGCTCAGCCATGGGTCCTAACGTGGAGGATTTCAAGGCTGAGGAGGAGTTGACTTGGGGGGGGGGCCTGGACCCCACTGGTCCCTGCTTGGGTGTTTGGTACTCTCGGTGCAGGGCTTGTTGTTACAGGGGGAGGGGTTTTTCTTTCCCCCTCCCTATACGATTTCGTTTTGAGTTCGATTCCTCCCCGGGTTCGGGTCCGAGTTCCCTTGGGTTCTTTGGTTCCCTCCTGGAGGATTTTGGCTTCCTGCATCCCACCGCGGAAGGTGTGGGAGGCCCCTTGCGGCTTACCTCCTGCGAGACCCTGATTACGCCTCGATGATGAAGCCTTCTTTTTGAGTTTGGCTCCTCTTTTTTCTTTATTGGGTGCGTTACAAGGTGCCGGAGTCTTCCTGTCTGGCAGACTGCCTTTTTTTCTTCAAGGGCTTGGCATTCGTCCTGTCGGAATGTTTGTATGTAGGCCCCTCCTAACCACTCCACATACTTCGGTTACCTTGGTATGTTATGCAGGCTCCTGTGTCAGGTTAGGTCTGCGCTGGTGGGTTTTGACGGGTTCCTTCGGCATGGATATCCTACTTCCTTGTCGGGTCGTGGGTGCCGGGTTGTAAACCTGCTTGGACGAGGTAATCCTTGTTGGACTTACCTCGCCTCCACGTAATCATTGGTGGATTTTGCAGGAAATTCTCCCAACAGGGGTGGTCACTGTATGTCTCCCTCATCCAGGCCCATACGTCTGAGAGTTTCTGTTATAGTTTCCCTGCAAAACCAGGAAAGAACAGGGTAGGGAGGATCCATCTCCTATCCTCCAACCGTGGGGCCAGGGGCCTGAGAAGTTGTTCTCTGGTCTTTCCGCGTAGTTTCTCTTGGGCGTGGTTCAGCGTTTCCTCAGGGTAACCTCTATGCCTAAACATCTCCCATAGGTCGTCTAGCCATTCAAGCAACTCTTGAATGGCGAGAGTTGCTTATGGTCGTTCAGGTTTTCCTGGGGAGTGAGTTGGAGCACCTCAAGGCATGCTTGTTCGCTCCCGTTCTTCCTTATGATGTCAGCCAGGTACGGATTCCCGTGCAGGTTCCCTCCCTTTCAACATCCCTGGTGGTTGAGGATTTGTGCACCCGTAAGCACTTGGCCTCGGTCTTGCTCTTCCTTTCCCTGCTGGACCTGTCTTTGGACAGTCTCGTGCTGGGTGTGGAGGAGTTGGGTTCCGGGCCAGGGTCCGGTGTGCTTGCTCCAGCAGCTCGGGCGCCGGCTCCTTTGGTGAAGTTGTATGTGCCGTTTCTGAGGGAGGCGGTGTCTGTTCTTCGATTCTCACCTCACGTGCTGACAGGCAGTGCTCGTCCAAATTTTGGAATCGTCTTGGGCCCTGGTTCTTAGATTTTCATCACCTTTTTGACCGTTGTTGCAAAGTCTAACGTGGTGCATTTTCTGCAGGCAGCTTCGTCTAGTTGACGGCCTTTGTCAGACTTGTAGGTTCCCCGGGGGTTTGGGGGGCCATGGAGGTCCTGCTCAGAAGGATCGTGCCAGGTCTCGGGGTTCCTTCTGTCGTAGTAAGCCAGTAGTGCCAGATTCGGGGCAGGCACCTTCTTTGAAGCCGTCGGCCTCTGGTCGGCGCAGTGATTGCTCTTAGCATCGGTTGGGCTCTCGTAAGGGTCGTCGGCCCTTTCCCGGGGTTGCCCTGTTGACGGGGCGATAAAGTGGGAGGCACGCGCGGTATGCTTTCGCTTGGTCCCACAATTTGTGGGCATTTTGGGTCGTTTCCTCCGGCCAGTGGTGGCGTTGGGTCACTCCTCCTCCTTCAGGGGGATCGGGGCTGGCAAGGCATGCCTCTTCTCTTGTGCTCTGTCAGGTCATCTGGGAGTGGGTTCGCTTGGGTGTGGTCGAAATGACACCGTCCCTCAGGTGGGTTTCTCGCCTGTTTTCAGTTCCGAAATAGGACTGCGAGGATCTGTGATTCATACTGGACTTGTCTCGTCTGAATCCCTGGGTCTCTTGCCCCTCCTTTCGGATGACCACTCTGTCTCAGGTCCGGCTGCTTTTGGCACTGGGTGCCTGGATGGTGTCTCTGGACCTCCGGGACGCGTATTGGTTTCATACTTACATTGTACATGTCCCGATTCATCTGGGGTTCAGTGACTGGCTCGGTTTTATCGTGGGGCAACAAGCTTATCACTTTCGTTGCCTTCCTTTCGGCTTGAATCTGGCAGCTCGTGTGTTCACACGCCTTACAGGGTCGTGGTAACCTGTTTGTTTCTGTTAGTGGTTCAGTTCTGGCTTACCTCGATGACTGGCTGGTGTGGGCTCCCAGCCAGTCCGCATGTCTGCTCACCAGGGATATGGTTCTTTCCCAACTCGCTGGGTTCGGGTTCATGGTGAACTGGAGGAATTCCCTTTTGGTTCCGTCTCAGGTTTGGACTTGGCTGGGTCTGTGTAGGACTCTCAGACCACTTCCTTGTCTCTCCCTCCTGCGACGCTGTTGCGGCTCCT